GCCAGAGAGGAACCTCCTGTTTCAGGAAACAGCTGCAAAATGCCACACATGGAACTAAACCCAGCCAGGACCAAGGTTCTCCTGCTCCTGCTGCAGCAGTGCTTGTTCTGACAGCCTGGAGCTAACCCCAGCCACACACAGCCTGCGCCTGCCTCTGCTTGTTTAGAGAATAAAGGGGCTGAGCACCAAGCAAAAGATGACTCAAATACAGTTCTGCAGCAAAATATTTTCCCTGCTGGAGGTTAGAAGGGCCTGAAGTGAATCTCCTTCAACTCTGCACGGCAGAGATGCACAAACAGCTCCTGTTTGCCACGAGCCCTCACAAAGAGCTGCTCTGACCACCTTGCTGTGGGACTCCAAGGATGTGGTCAGGAACAAAACAACTGCTGGACTGAAAACCACGAGAGAAAAACAGATCAAAGGAGCAGGAAGAAAGCCAAGGCTGTTATTCATTAATACTGACAAAGCAGCTTTTAAAATTAAACCCTTAAAATAAACAAGCCAAACCTTTTCGAAATGAAACTTCAAGTTCATTGTGCCGGAGCAGGAGCTCAGAAGGATGCACTCAGTACAAAGAGCCAGGCAAAAGCCACTTGTGAGCTGGGAGATCCCTGCAGCACCCAGCTGGCACAGCCTGCCCTGCAGCACTCATTGCACTCTGGAAAAAGGAGGGCAAGCACAGCTGCTCTCCAGCTCGGGCTGCCTGAGTGGCACGGGGCCATTTCCTCAAAACCAGGAGCCTCCATCACCCTCCTCTCTGCAGCACTGGCACAACAGCCCTGAGCACACAAAAACAAACCCCAGCAAAAGGTGGGAATTGTCCCACATTCCCACAACCTCATCCTCCTGTTCCAGAGGCAGGAAGGAGCAGAGTAGGAGCCCTAAGGTGGCAATGGTTTGGAGCAGCTCAAACCCTCTCAGTGCTCTGGGTGAGGTTTTAGCATTACAACTCTTTGTCCTGAAGAGAGAAGTGGAGTGTTTCTCCTGCCTCCCTGTGTTAACACTCACTGACACCAAATCCTGAAGGATTTAAATCCCTGTATGAGGCACCCCAGGGATTTCTGCACACCTTCCAACCCACACAGCTCCAAGAGGCCTTTCCTTCCCTTTCAGAGGGAATGGAAGCACTCAAACACTGAGGCAGCAGGGGCACAAATCTGCAGTGCAGGCTCCTGTAGTTAAAAAGCCAGAACTGGAAGCAGAACTGGGGCTGCTGCTTCCTTTGTCACTGCAGTGCAGCTCCTCCTGGGCACTGAGGAAGACCACAGGCTGTACTCAGCCCCCTCCCCCTGAGCAGCTCAGGCACCAAACCCTGCAGGCACAAAGTGTTCTGGGATATTTCCAGTGTTCTGCATGTTCTAACAGCCTCTGGGAGCTTCCCGGAATAGCTGCACGGTGCCACTGGGCTTCCTGAAATTGTTCTGGAATAGAGCCCCAGGGCTTGACACCGATTTCAGACAGGTTTTTGTTCATTTTAGTTCCAGTCCTTGGTCCCACCTAGAGGCACAGCAGACAGAAACACGTCCCTGTTTTCCTGGGCAGCAGCAGCAGCCACGCACACCCACCTTGGCTTCATAAAGGAGAGGTCCATGGAAACAAAGCACTCGCTCACCTGCAAGGGAAGCACAGAGACTCAGCTCAGAGGGCCCTGCCCACAGCCCTGTCACCAGGAACAGCACAGAGCAGCCAGGGAGAGCCCCGAGGCAGGAAATGACTGCAGAGGCAATTTCTCTGTCCCACCAAAGGGATCAGAGCTGAGATTGTTTGGAGCCCAGAGCAGAGATCCCTGAGGATCCAGGAGCAGCTGCACACACACAAAGCAATAGTGCTGGTGCCTTCGGCAGCAAACCCCACATCCCTGCCCCTCCCTGGCATGCCCAGATCTCCTCCCCAGGCTCAGGTCAGGCTGCAGCCCCACAGCAGGCTGGGCTCAGCCACAGGCAGGCAGAGCTGCCCCTCTGGAGGGTCACTGATCCAGGGCACTCCCCTACCACCCCACCTCTGCACCTGCAGCTCCTGACAGGCACCGTCAGCCGTGTCCTTTCCTTGCAGGAAGGGCCACACGTGGCATTCCCAGCTTAGGGGAGTCAGGAAGGGAGAGCCTCATGCTGCTTCCCCAGCCAGCCTGTGGGACAGGGCAGGGCAGCAGCAGAGCCCTTCACTCTGGGGTTTGGAGCAGGATGAGATTGTCCTTCAGCCTGGCTTTAGCTCCTCCTGGCCAAGCCTCATTGCGTGGTTCCACTGTGGGGTTTGCAGGGTACTTAACACAGGGTACCTGAGGGCACACATCTCCTGCTGGAAGCTGCAGTGCCTCCCGGTTTTGGGAAGATGAGCTGCAGAACTGTGAAATGCTTCTGTGTCTTAACAAAGAGAAAGGCTCAGAAAGGCTCTCCCGGAAGTGCCCACACTGACACATTTCACAGTCAGTGTTTTTATTTATTTAAAAATGTCCCTACAGACAGGGCTGACAATCAGAGGTGACATTACCACCCTCGTTGTCACAGTGCTGGCGGCAGACACACCCCTGCCTCAGAGCTGCGCAGTGTTTTCCACGAGAGATGCCCACGGTTACCGAGGAACACTCATTTTTAAAAACCACACGGATGATTTGCAGAAAGGGCTCTTTGTCTCCATGATAAGCCGGCAGGCTCCTGCTCCCTCACACAAGGGCTGTTCCCTGGATGAACACCCTGCTCCTTACACCGAAGCTCGTCCCATCCCACCCCTGCCAGGACAGGGACACCTTCCACTGTCCCAGGTGCTCCAGGACCATCCAGCCTGGCCTGAGACATTCCAGGGATGGGGCATCCATCTTACACTGCACTGCTATTTTTATTTATCCTACCTCTATTACTGTCAACCGCAACCATTACCTAAAGATCAAAATATACCCAGAAAAATCCTCCTAAAAAGCTCGATTAATCCTCATTCGCTTAAAGCCCGGCGCTCTGCGGCAGATGTGGATTCCAGCTGTGCTGGAATCCAACGCTGCCTCCATGAATCCTCCTGCACTGGGCTCCCTTCCGGGGGGCAATAAATAATAATTTTCCAAGCGCATTAAAACAAAACCCCCGACAAACCAGAGGCATTTCAGCAGTTTTAATGCCAAGGAACATCCGCGCAGGAAAACGAAGGATATTTGGAATAACGGGGTGGGAAGGGCCCGCGTGCTCCGGGGAGGAAAGAGGAGGGCCGGGAGGAGACAAAGCCTGCGGGAACCCAGCTCTCCCACCGCTCGGCACCTGCTGGGGGCTGAGCCGGGAGCGCTGGGAGCGGATGCCGAGCCCCGGGGCCGGAGCCGAGCCCCCCGCGCCGGGCGCGGCCCGCGGCACCCCCGGCCCGCCCGCGCCGCGGCCCCGAGCCCTGCCCGCACTCACCCTCCTGGAACTTAGGCTTGGGGTCCTGCTTGGGCGCCATTTATAAGGGCCGGTCCCTCCTCCGGCCGCTCCCCGCGGGGCCCCGGCGCTGCCCGGCCCGGCCCCGGCGCTGCCCGGCCCGGCCCCGGCGCGCAGCCGCGGCTCGGGCATGCCGGGACATGGAGTCCGCGGGCTCCGCGCCCGCTCCGCCCCGCTCGGCGGGCGGGGGCGGCTTGGCTGCCGACTGCTGGGTGCCTGCGCCGTGAGGAGCCAGACTGGGCGGAAAAAAAAAATACAAACCGAGAAAAAACGGAAAAATACAATGCGCCCAACGTGGGGCTCGAACCCACGACCCTGGGATTAAGAGTCCCATGCTCTACCGACTGAGCTAGCCGGGCGCCACACGCGCCGTGTGGCCGCCGCGGGTGTCGACAGTGGCTCCGCCGGCCGCGGGCGTTCCCCGCTACGGCCGCCAGAGGGCGCGTGCCTCGGCTGATCTGCACATTTAACATTCTCGCCTAATTAAACACCGTCCCAAACTTTATCCCATCATCTTGGCAGGTGTGGAGCGACCGAAGATGCGGCCGTCACAGGAAAGCCGTGGGCTGCCGGAACCGCGAGCACCCCCCGAGGGGTTAATTCATACAGCCCAGTAATCCCGGGTGTTTGCTCCCCGTGCGCTTCAACCTGACAGAAAATAAAAGGATATAGCGACGGGCAGCCCGAGCTGAGGGGAGGATGGACGTGGCGGCGTCAGCCAAGCACCGTTTTTAATTTTTGACCGAAAATACACTGAATTTTTGTGATTTTTTTAAGCGCGATCCTCGCGACGGGGCAGACGAAGCAATGCGGCAAGGGAGCGCCAGAGGGCGCCATGGGCCACGCCGGCAACGCGTAACATAAACCCCGCCCCTTAATGTGCATAACCCCGCCCCTAATGTACATAATCTGCTCTAATATGCACAGCCCCGCCCATCTGGCATGCATTGATGCCTTGAGAGGCTGCCTGGAACAGAGCTGGGCAGAGTTGAAGAATAAAGCAGGGATTTATTAAAAGGCCTTCACAGGACACACCTTGGGCAGTACCTGAGCCAGGCCGTGGCTACACCCAGGCTGGACTCCAGTTTTCACACTTTTATAAGTTTTGTTCCATTTCCATATTGGGGTTAATTGTCCAGTTCCATCTCCAGGTTACGCCATCCCATCCTCCCAGATTGCTCTCCTCACTTCGCTGTTTGCACTTTTTGGGCCTGAAGCTGCAGCAGTGTCCTTTGTTCTGGGGCTGGAAAAGGATTGTTCTGTGTGACTGAGCTGTGAGGAGGACTGCTAACACTCTCTATGAAGCTCAGAGTTATAAACTAATGCAGTACAGAATCTGGAAAATGTGAAAGCTCAAATTTAGGGCATCAATGTACCCCGCCCACTGATGTACATAACCCCGCCCCTAATACGCATAACCCCGCCTGTCTGATGTGCATAACCACACCCCTAACGTTCACAACTCCGCCCATCTGATGTGCATAGCCCCGCCCCCTGTTGTGCATAGCCCCGCCTCCTGTTGTGCATAGCCCCGCCCCCTGTTGTGTGTAGCCCCGCCCCCGCGGTGCCGCCGCGCCCCGGCGGAGCCCCCAGCCCGCCGCAGCCATGGCGGCCCCGGCCGCGCTGCGCCCGCTCCTGCCCCTCGTCCCCGTGGCCGCCGCGCTGGCGCTGGCCGCGGGCGGGGGCACCGCGGGGACAGGTCCGGGGGGACGGCACGGCGGGGACCGCGGGAGGGCCGCGCGGGGGGCCCGCGGGGATGGGGGCGGGTTGTCCGTGGAGTGCGGGGTGCCCGCGGGTGGCGGTGGGGATGAGCGGGATGAGCGCCGGGTGTCCGCGGGATGAGCGGGAATGGGCGCCGAGTGTCCGCGGGATTGTCCGCGGGATGAGCGCGGGGTGTCCGCGGGATGAGCGATTTGAGCGCCGGGTGTCTGCGGAATTGTCCGCGGGATGAACGGGATGAGCGCGGGGTGCCCGCGGGAATGAGTGGGATGAGCGCGGGGTGTCCGCGGGATTGTCCGCGGGGATGAGCGGGATGCCCGCGGGATGAGCGCGGGGTGCCCGCGGGATTGTCTGTGGGATGAGCGCCGGGTGTCGGCGGGATTGTCTGCGGGAATGAGTGGGATGATTGCCGGGTGTCGGCGGGATTGTCCGCGGGATGCTCGCGATCCGGACAGCCCGGTGTCCCCGCCGCTGCCGCGCTCCGTGCCCGCGGGCTGGGCACGCCCGGAGCCCGCAGCGAGCCCCGGTCCCCTCCCGGCTCCCCGCCGAGCCCCGCCTGGGAGGCTCCGGAGCGCTCCGTGCCCGCGGGTGCTTTGCCCCCAGAGACGGCGTGTCCCAACACCGCCTCAAAGCGGGGATTCCATTTTTTGGGAGCTTTTCCGTTGTTCGTTCGGTGGTTATCTCACTGGCAGCCGGAGTTTACCAGCGGGAGTTAAGCGGGGCCGGCCAGGGCAGGGCTCCGGAGCTGCCTGACTCCCCCTCGCCCGGCCGGCCCCTAACCCTGACCTTAACGCTGTCCCGGCGGACCCCAGCGCTGGCCCCGCGGGCAGCAGGGGCTGTCCCTGCTGTCCCTGCTGTCCCTGCTCCGTGCGGTCCCAGCGCGCACATCCCGCTGCTGTCCATCCAGCCGCAGGGGGAGGCCAGCGGGGACGGGGTGTGAGAGGAAAGGTGCAGAACCCTGCAGGTAAGCACTGCCCCCCTCTCCCCAGAGCCGCGCTCCGGCAGCGACATCGTCCATCCCATCAAGGTCGACGAGAGCGGAGCCTTCCTGTCCTACGACTTGTCCCACCGGGCCCTTCACCGGAGGTCTCCTGCCTCCAGGAGCAAGCTCCCCGCCTTCTACGAGCTGCAGTACAGAGGGCAACCCCTGAAATTCAACCTGAGCCTCAACAGGCACCTCCTGGCCCCGGGCTTTGTCAGCGAGAGGCGTTTCGGGGGCATCGCCGGCGCCAAGATCCAGCCCCGCTCCTACAACCCGTGCCACATGATCGGGGAGGTGCGGGGCCCGCTGCAGGCGGGGCTGGCTGCCCTCAGCACCTGCGATGGCCTGGTGAGTACAGCCCCCCCCTCACACCCAGCCCTGATCCATGAGGGAATGGCAGGAGCCCGGTGGAACCCTTATTTCTGCCAAAAGTGACACGAAAGTTCCCAGCAGCAGAGTCAGCATCTCATCATGCAGGTCTGGTACACCACGGATGGGCTGACTGTAAATTTCCCATGGATTGCAGTGGTTTGGGACCTCTCCAGGGCTGGGTTTACTTGTTTGTGTCCAATTACCCAAAAGGAGCAATTCTCTGCCTCGTGCTGCGTGAGTGGGATTGTGAGGAGCGCACGGGGAGCGAGGGGCTGGGAGCTGCAGGTGTGATAGCACAGCTCCTGGGCACTGAAGCTGCTCGCTGTTTCCTCAGCTCCACTGTTGGTATTTCCTGTGGCAGCAGAGACCTGGAGGAGTTTGGGGGGAAAGGGCTTAGAACCTGCTGTGGATGTGCAGAAATGTCCCATGTGCCTGGTGGGGCAGTGCTCACACTCGTGTCCCTCTCTTTGGAGGGAGCACAACTCCATTGGATCCTCCTCCACAGCTCCCAGAGGGCAGGAGTAAATGGGACACGGGGGAGAATCCTTCCCTGGGAGGGTGGCAGGGGCTGGGCTGGAATTCCCAGAGCAGCTGGGGCTGCCCCTGGATCCCTGGCAGTGCCCAAGGCCAGGCTGGACACTGGGGCTTGGAGCAGCCTGGGGCAGTGGAAGGTGTCCCTGCCCATGACGGGGATGGGCTTTAAGGTCCCTTCCCACCCCAGCCATTCCAAGGTCCCTTGATTCCATTGATTCCTTGATTCCCCAGCCGTTCCAAGGTCCCTTGATTCCGCTGATTCCTTGATTCCCCAGCCATTCCAAGGTCCCTTGATTCCGTTGATTCCTTGATTCCCCAGCCATTCCAAGGTCCCTTGATTCCGCTGATTCCTTGATTCCCCAGCCATTCCAAGGTCCCTTGAGTCCGTGATCACTGCCAGCGCCAGGTTCCACCCGGGCTGCAGGTGGCCTCATGGTGGCACTTTGTGTCTCCCTGGCAGAAAGGTGTGTTTCAGCTCATGAACGAGGACTATTTCATCGAGCCCGTGTCCAGCAGCCCCCGGGAGGAGGGAGCAGCACAGCCCCACAGGATCTACAAGCGCCAGGTGCTGGAGGCCAGGGCTGAGCAGGGCAGGAGCGCCCCAGCCCCGCGGGAGCCCTGCGGTGTGCCAGGTACTGCCCCTTCCTCTGTGCCACCAGGGACCCAATGCTGCTGCACCCCAGGCCTCGGGGCTCACCTTCTGCTGCAGGCAGGGGGGATGTGGAGACAGAGCTTTTGCTTTCATTTCCACCAAAACTTTGGGTTTGACCTGCCAGGTTGTTGGGCTTTGGCGTGGAACTCAGTGGCTGCCCCGGGAGTTCCCGCTGTGGGCAGAGGGCATGGGGGTCCTTCCCTGTGCACAGCAGATGGGTTGGATCAACTCCCAAATCCAGCATTCCGAGTGCTGAGGAATTCAGTGCATTCCCAGAAGCTCGTGGGCACTTTGCTCCCTGATGAAGCTGCAGTGCATTATGTGCTGCACGTTTTCTGGAGCTCTCTGCTTCCACTAACTGGGGTTTGCTTGTGTAACAGCGTTATCTTCAGGCATTCTTCTGATAATCTAAATTAATTATTTAATCTGTGGTAATAATCTTAATGGCTTCTTCTGGGCTTTGAAGTCTGTTCTTGACTCAAGTCCATTTGAAGTCTATTCTTGATCATTAATTTCTCTGGGTGTACCATGGCCTGTGTGTAATTCACGTGGATCTCCTCTGTAATGAGCACCAGCGGGGTGGACGTGCTGTGCATGCCCTGGAGGGGAATTCCATGGGAATCCCAAAGTCTGTAGGGTTTTAGTGACTGCCATCCTCTTGCTGAGCTCTGCTGTGTTGCTCTTTGCTTTGCCCGTGACAGGCAGGTGCTGCTGGTGTTGTTTGACTCCTGTCAGTGCCCAGGGCTGCCCTTGTGCCCAGCTGGGATCATCCCAAGGGGAAATGCCCCCTGGGCACCCCCAGCCCTGCAGCAGCCTCACATCTCAGCTGGGAGCTCACAATAGGAAGGAGCTCCAAGGAAGCTGCTGCGATTAAACTGTCACAGCGGCATTAGCAGCTCATCGGGAGGTGCAGATAGCTGGGATTTCTCAGGCTGGGGATGAAACGCCCTTTCACAGCACACTGCTGCTCAGTGCAGCCCAGGAAGTGTAGGAGTCCATTGTTAGGGAAGCCATGAAAGCGATTCCCACTGTGTGGGATGAGGTTTGTAAAGCCTTCACCCAGCCCGGGCTGACCCTGACCTTGCTCTTGGAGCCGTGTCACAGGAAAAGTCCCCGCTGCAGAATTCCCAGTGCCTGGTGTGCGTGAGGAGCTGAGCTCTCCCCGCCTCCGCACTCCCAGCCAACATTCCCCTTCTTTCCCCTTGGGAAGGAGCAGAGCCTCTCTCCTCTCCTCTCCCTGTGCCCGGGGCAGTCTCGGTGCTGCCCTGCAGGGTCCCCTTGTTCCCTTGGGAAGGAGCAGAGCCTCTCTCTCCTCTCCTCTCCTCTCCTCTCCTCTCCTCTCCTCTCCTCTCCTCTCCTCTCCTCTCCTCTCCTCTCCTCTCCTCTCCTCTCCTCTCCTCTCCTCTCCTCTCCCTGTGCCTGGGGCAGTCTCGGTGCTGCCCTGCAGGGTCCCAGCCTGCCCAGGGCTCTGCAGTCACCAGTGCTGCTTTGGGGGCACAGAGTTCATTGTGATAGGAACTGTCCCTTCCTGAAAAACGCAGATTTGGGATGACCCCAAATGTGGAGCCACCAGGGTTTTTTCTCAGGTTGTTTCTCAAGCGTCTCTGCAGTGTTGTCTATAAATTCCTGTCAGTACAAACACTAAGACTCTGCTTTGGGAGGCTCCCTGTTCCTTCTGAAATATTGCAAACCTTGTTCTGGTCAAAGAAATTCCTTCAAATGCTCTGTTTTGGTTTTGGGGTTTTTTTTGTGTCCTGCTCATGTGCAGCAGGCTGAGCTCAGAGTCCTTTGGAACAGAGCACAGCAAAATGCACAGGAGTTATTGAGTTATGGCTCTAAGTGTGGAGCCTTCTCCACATCAAAGGTGATTCCTTTGAATTAAAAAAGAAGATATTAAAGGTGCAGGCACTTGATCAAGGAAAAAAAAATGTTTTTTCCCCTTAAATCGCTCAGAGTCTCAGGAAAGCCTGGAGCGGTCTGAGAGGCGCAGGGAGAGGTGGGAGCAGAAGCAGCACAGGAGGAGGAGGAGGAGGATCAAGCAGCGCTCCATCAGCAGGGAGAAGTGGGTGGAGACGCTGGTGGTGGCAGACACCAAGATGGTGGAGTTCCATGGCAGTGCTAACATTGAGAAGTACGTGCTGACCGTCATGAACATGGTGAGTGCTGGCCCTGGGCTGCACCCAGAGCCCGTCCAGGGTGACACGGGCAGGGCCATGGCACCGTGGGCGTCGTGGTCTCCAAGGGAGGCGCTGGACAGGACGGCTGAGGGAGGGACAGCCTGGCCGTGGTGGTCTCTGCTGGCACTCTGGGCGCTGTGCTGGTGCCCTGACACAAGCAGAGAAAGAGGTGGCTCGGCCTGTCCCTCTGCTGCTGCCAGGTTGGCACCTCTTGGCATTCCAGAGGAAAGATTTGATGCCAGGAAAGGCTGGGATGAGGCAGAGCACCTCAGGTAACATCCTTGGGTTTCTGGGGGTGCTGAAGGCACCTGGAGAGCACCAAACTCCTTAGGGATGTTAAACACATCCAATAGGAGTGGGAGCAGAGGGGTCCCCCGGGCATTTCTGGCTGAGTTCCAGTGTCTGCACAGATCCCACGGAGTGTAAATGGATTTCATGGCAGGCCTCGCTCCAGCCCCGTGCCTGCTCTTGTCTCCCGTGAGGGGAATTCCTGAGAAGTGTCAACAGCCTGCAGCAGCTTCCCCTGCAGGAGCTGCCGCAGCTGGAGGTGGCAGGGGCAGCGTGCCGGCTGCTCTGTGTCCCCAGCCGTGTCCCCGTGGTGTCCCACTGCAGGTGGCAGGGCTGTTCCACCACGCCAGCATCGGGAACCCCATCAACATCGCCATAGTGCGGCTGATCCTGCTGGAGCACGAGGAGGTGAGGCCCAAACTGCGGCTGGGCTGGGCACCAGGCTCCCTCCTGGGCTGGCCCAGGGTGTGTGGGAGAAATCCAGGTGCCCACCTTTGCCTCCTCCTCTTGGCTGGTGGAGCCAGGGTTGGTGTGAGCCTGGTTTGGGGTGGTTTGTGGTGTCACACACAGTGCCACTGTGCTGGCAGAGGGCTCTGGGTCACTGGTGGTCGTGTCCAAGCTGCTGTGGTGGCTCTGGGGGGCCTGAGGCCACTCAGGGTCTCCACAGTCACGTCCTTCTCTGTCAGCCAGCACACAGGGTTTTCCTGCAGTGGTTCTTAAGCCCTGTTACTGGATGATTTAATGTTTTGGTTGAATCACAGATGAAAAGAAAGCAGGAAAAGGGCTGTCTTCCCACCCAGCCTACAAGCTATAAACATGGAGCAATTCCATCTGGATGGCAGTCACTCCCAATCCCCCTCTGATGTGCCTGGGCTCGGACCTCTCCCCTCCCCATCCCAAAACCCAAACAGCTCCAGCAGATCTCCCTTTATGTTGGCAGGAGGACCTGAAGATCTCCCACCACGCAGACAACACCTTGAAAAGCTTCTGCAAGTGGCAGAAGAGCATCAACGTGAAGGGAGACTCCCACCCCCTGCACCACGACGTCGCCGTGCTGCTCACCAGGTGTGGGGCCCAAAAACTCACCTGGCTGCAGGTGGGACAGCCAGGGGAACATCTCCTGGCAGCTGTTGAAGTCTCACTCTCACCTGCATGTGAGATCTGTGATATGAAATCTGGGGACATTTCCCGGTGGCTGGAGCTGCTGTGGAAGGTGGCCCTGCCCATGGCAGAGGGTTGGAATTAGATGATCTTTAGGATCCCTTCCAACCCAAAGCGTTCCATGAGTCTGTGATTCCACGGACTGGTCTCAGATCTCAGGTTTAAACCTAGACACAGCTCCCAGCTGAGGTTTCCAAAACAGGTTTTCACCGTGGCCCCGTTGCCAAGCCCCAGAAGGGCTGGATCCAGGAGCTGTACACAGGATTAACTCTCCTTTTTCCCTCAGAGGCTGGGCTTGGCAGAGGAGCCTCTGGGAAGCCCCTGACCTCCCACGGAGCTGGCAGGAATTCCTGCCTCTGGCCAAGTTTGTGTACCTTGCAGTCAAAGCCTGGTTTGAGGCTTTCAGGCTGCCGTCAGCTGGCTGCTGTGGTGGTTTGGGTGATGATTCACAACCCACAGCAGCTTTATCTTCCCTGGGAGGTTGCTTTGTAGCAGAAATGAGGCACTTCAGGCCTTGTACTTCAGTGGAGCTGTTCTTCCTGGGAGGCAGGAGCTGCCCTGGAAAACCACAGCACCTCTGGGATGTTCTTCCCCAAAACATTGTTTGATTATCCCCAGCATCAGCTTTATTTATACAAGGGAGTAAATGCAGCCAGGCTGGCCAGCAGCTCCCATTAATCAGGCTTAATGGTGAGCTGGGGATACTGGGAGAGGAAAGGGGAAAGGAAAGGTCACAAATGTTTCCCCTGTGGAAGGACGTTGGATGTCTCAGCTCTCGCTCCTGTCTGGCGCTGTCCGTGGGCCAGGTCCTGCCGCCTTCCAACGCCCTCTCTGCTCTCTGTCTGTCTGTCCGTCTGTCCGTGTGTCCCCTCGGCCAAGGAAGGACATCTGTGCTGCCATGAACAGGCCCTGTGAGACCCTGGGGCTGTCCCACGTGGCCGGGATGTGCCAGCCCCACCGGAGCTGCAACATCAACGAGGACACGGGGCTGCCGCTCGCCTTCACCGTGGCCCACGAGCTGGGACACAGGTACCACCCTCCTCCTCCTCCTCCTCCTGTTCTCTGTGTGCACCCTAGGGCTGGAGAAGGCACGGGGGAAGTTGGGAGATGGTTCCCAGATGGTTCCTCATAGGTGCAAACACCCCCTTGCTCCCTGAGGGTTTCATTCCAGAGTTAAGTTTTGGGTTGTCCCACGTTTAATGAGAACCACACAATCCAAGGCAACCTGGAGAAATTGCACCTGTGTGTTGTCCTGGGGTGGTGTGGGAAGGTTTTGGAGCAGGGGTTGCCCATTGAGAAGTTTTAAAGTAGGATCTGTCTGTACTATCAGTGACAGAATCTTGCTGGCCCCAGTTTCAGTTAAACTTTGACAAGGTCACTTGAACATTGCAGTTTCAGTTAGACATAGACATCTGACTGAAGACATAGACATTCCCAATAAACATCTGCATGTGGGAAAACACCCACCAGCGAGATCTTGTTGAATATTCCTGAGTTTTCAGTGGGAAAGCTGCAGTGAGAGCGGGGGACAAAGCTCAGGGCTGTCAGTAGATGTGCCCAGGGCAGTCCCTGCTCCGGGGCCGGGAGCGGTGGCGGTGGTGGCTGTGGTGCTCGTGGCTCACCTCCCCTCCATGGGCTGTGTCTTACACAGTTTTGGGATTCAGCATGATGGAAGCAGCAATGACTGTGAGCCAGTTGGGAAAAGACCTTTCATCATGTCTCCACAGCTCCTGTATGACACGTCCCCACTCACCTGGTCCCGCTGCAGCCGCGAGTACATCACACGCTTCCTCGAGTGAGTGCTTCCTCCTCCTCCTCCTCACTGATGGGGCTGGGGGGTCGGGGCCCAGGCGTGGGGGTGTTCTTATCTCTGAGATATCTCTCTAAGAGAGTTGGGGGGTCTTTGCCCAGAGCAGCTGTGGCTGCCCCATCCCTGCAAGTGTCCAAGGCCTGGGGTAGTGGGAGGTGTCCCTGCCCATGGCAGGGGTGGGATGAGATGGGCTTTGAGGTCCCTTCCCACCAAACCATTCCACAGTTCCATGGATCCTCCCAGGGTTGCCTCGCTCTGTGCTGTGAAGGGGGCTCAGGAGCTTTTGGGGGGCACAGGGGCTGTGGCTGCACAGATAAAACCAGAGTGTTTTCCCTCAGTGCTCCCTGCAGGTTCTGCAGAATCTCTTTGATTCTCTCTGCCTGTCATGGGCAAACCAGATCCAGGCAAATGCTTCCCCGCCTTTGTTTATTTTTAGCCGCCGTGGCTGATTTTCCAGCCTGTTGTTAGGAAGTTCCAAGGAGCCCAGACAGGAGTTTGGTTTGTCAGCCAGTGGCTTGCACTGGAGGAGCATTTCCCCCGTGCTGCAGGAAGGTTTGAAAGCAGTGAGGAGCAGCAAGGGGAGAGCTGGGCCAGGCAGGCTGCTGGGGCCAGGCTCTGCTCCCAGATCCCAGCCTGGGCCGTGTGGGTTGGCCCCGTGCAGGGGAATTACTGCTGATTTATGGCTTTCTGAGGAATGGAGCTCTCCCGCTTCCGCAGCGCTCTTGGCCCTCTGCTTTTAACCTTCACTTGGGCAGGAAGAATTTCCTGCCTGTGCTGACCCTGGGCTGCTGCTGATGGGGAGACAGAGCAGCTGGAAGCTCCTCTGCTGGGCTTTGGGTGTCTGTGCTCCCCAGAAGGAGCAGCTCTTCCTCGGGAGCTGTCTGTCCCTGGCTGTGACACCCGGGCCAGGGCACAGACAGGAGTGTTGTAACGGGATGCTGGCAGGAGAGCAGGAGGGAGGGAGCCAGGAAACCCGACCCTGCTGACCTGGGGTTGCTGGGTGTGCTTGGAACAGACCTCATGTTCGGGAAAACCACACTCTTGCATGGTGATGATTGTTATTTTACACAAGATCGTTGTTATTTCACAAGCACTGCTGAATGTCGGAGCATCTGAAAGGGATTCCTGGCAGCAGCAGGGCCCCAGCACTGCAGTCAGTGCTGCTGCAGCTGGGCCTCCAGTCAGGGTCTGCCTGGACACGAGGGGGCACTGGGAGGAGAGCTCCTGTCCCTGCTGTGGCAGCCTGTCCCCAGGGAAGGTGTCCCCTTGCTCAGGCCAGGGTGCTGGCACAGGGTGGCTGCTGATGCTCCAGGGCATCAAGACCTTTCAGTCTTTGCTCTACATCAGAACCAGATCTTCAGCCTCTTTTCACAGTGCTGGAGCTGTTCTTCCATCATACTCCTCTTGCCAGGGCCTGGGGCTGCTGCCCTTGCCACCCCTCTGCCAGCCCCTCCAGCCCCATGGCTGTGCTGCTGATTCTTCCCGAGCTCCAAGCTTTGCCTTTGTTTTTCTTGAACTCTGTCCTGGCTCCTTTGGACCCTTCCTCCAGTTCTCTGGGAGCTTTTGGAATTTTAATCCTGCTCTCAAATGTATCTGCAGATCCTCTCAGGCTGCTCACAGATGGGGATTTAATCATTGTTCCATCCACTCCATCCTCCAGCTCGTTAAGGAGCGGGCTGGAACAGGCAGAGCAGTGCAGGCCCCTGCATCTTTCCCTGTGGACTGGGATTTACTGCACATCCCTGGAAGCCAGAGGGAAACTCAGGCCAATTTTTCCCTGCTTGGAGATGTGTTTTGGCCAATTGAACAGACCAGGAGAATGATTGTAAAATATTTAACAAAGCAATAGATTCTGGAAAAGCTGGAAAGCTGAGGCAGATCCCAGTGACCCCAGACTGGACAGAGACCCCTCTGTGAGCTGGGGCCGGGCAGGGAGTGCCCCAAGCAGCTCAGAGGAACAGGAGGAGGCTGGGGACAGGCAGGGGGGACCTGTGGGGCCCAAACAGGCAGAGGGTGAAGGGTCCAGAGCAGCACGAGTGTCACAGCTGGGGCTCATCCAGGCTGAAGTGCTCGAGCCTGGACTTTTTCCAGTGAGGACACCTTCTGTTTTTAGAGAAAACATTCCAAGTGTACAGAATGGGATGGGCTTTAAGGCTCCTTCCAACCCAAACCATTCCAGGATTCCGGGATTCTGTGGAAGCACATGGGGAGGTGCCCTGCAGAGTGTGCCTGACACAGGCTGCCCAATCCATGCCCCATCCATCCCAGCTCAGCACCACATCACCCACAGGGGTGGGATCCTGCCCTTCCCACGGGGCTGGGAGCAGCAGGGTGCTCCTGCTGTTGGGAGTTTGGAAATGGAGATTTTGGAGCCCCTGAAAACAACCCCTTTCCTGGCTCCTCCCACACTGAAATACAAGTGTATGTCAGCGAGGACATGCATGGGGTTAAGGGGCTGTCTCCAGCCACGGGAGCTGTTTGCAGGTGTCCAGTGTGGAGCTCGGTGGTGGGGTGGGAAGGGGAGGAGGGGGTGCTGGTTCTGCTGGGCATCACCCGTGGCACTGCCAGCACCCCAAAGCCGCAGCTCTCCTGCTTCCAGCGCTGTTCCCGTGCTGCTGCTTTGGCTTGAGAAGGAATCTCACTGCACGTGGATTCCCAACAAACCCGAGTAATCTGATCCTCCACCGCAGCCCTGCCAGAGGCTCGGCCTTGCTGGAAAGGAGTTTGTTGAAATAACACCGCGGGCTGAGCCGGGACAATCCCGGCTGTGTTTGGGAAGAGTCAGCAGCAGCTGGAGCAGGGGAGGCACCTCTGCCCCAGAGCTGTCCTGTCCAGCTCGGCCTGAGCAGGGTGTGGGCATGTCCAGCTGCTGATCATCTCCTCTATTCCTGTTAGCAGCATCTGCAGTGGAGTTTGTGGCTCCACTGGGACATTTATGGTTGTTGCCCCTTCTGTCTTTGTCCCTTCACCTTCCTCCCCCACGTCTGGCACACCAGGGGGACATGGGGGGATCACTCTGGGGGGCTCCCACCCCAATGAGGTACCCAGAGGTGCCATCCACACTGGAGCAGCCCCAGGGACTGCAGAGCTGGGGCCGTGTCAGTGGGAAATGCTGGTTGCTCATCCAGGACATTGGCCAGTGGCTGTTCCCATCTCCTGCCAGAGCTGTGGGACACTGGGTGACACTGGGTGACACTGCTGGGTGACACTGGGTGACACTGGGTGACACTGCTGTGGGACACTGGGTGACACTGGGTGACACTGCTGTGGGACACTGGGTGACACTGCTGGGTGACACTGGGTGACACTGCTGTGGGACGCTGGGTGACACTGCTGGGTGACACTGGGTGACACTGCTGTGGGACACTCGGTGACACTGCTGGGTGACCCTGCTGGGTGACCCTGGGTGACACTGGGTGACACTGGGTGACACTGCTGGGTGACACTGCTGGGTGACACTGGGTGACACTGCTGGGTGACCCTGCTGGGTGACCCTGGGTGACACTGGGTGACACTGGGTGACACTGGGTGACGCTGCCATGCCCTCTCTTGCAGCCGGGGCTGGGGGCTGTGCCTGGATGATCCCCCGGCCCGGGAGCTGCTGGACTTTCCCCTGGTGCCCCCGGGCGTCCTGTACGACGTGGGCCACCAGTGCCGGCTGCAGTACGGCCCCTACTCCACCTTCTGCGACGACATGGACGTAAGGGGGACTGCTGGGCATCAGGGGGGCTCTGGGGGGCTTGGCTGGGGCTGTGCCCACCCTGCCCCAGGGATGGATCTGATCTGTGCCCAAGGGAGGGCTCTGTGCCAGGCAGGAACCTGTCCCTCTGTCCCCACAGAGTGTCTGCAGCACGCTGTGGTGCACGGTGGGGAACACGTGTCACTCCAAGCTGGATGCAGCTGTGGATGGCACAGCCTGCGGGGAGAGCAAGGTAAGGGGGGGGAACACCCTTCCATGGCCTTGGGGAGCCCTGCTCCTGGGGAGAGCAAGGTAACAGTGGGACACCCCTCCAGGACCTTGGGGAGCCCTGCTCCTGCACACACAGGGGCTCTGCAGGGTCACTGCAGGGCTGGGCTCATCCCACTGCCCCTGCTCTGCCCAAACACCCACTGCCCCAGCAGGGACTGCCCTCGGGGAGGGTGACTCACTTGGGGTCACTTGAATCCCAAAGGGAAGGTGAAACCCGCAGTTAATGCCTGTGGCAGGAGAGCACTGGCTCATTCTGCTGCCAGGGTGGATGCTCCTCCCTGGGATCTCTCCCACTGCTGGGGAGCCCCTCTGGGCCGACACTGGGCTGTGAATCCCCTTGCTGAGGGGTCTCCACGGAGCTTTGGGTTTGTTTTCTCCCTCAAACAGCCCAACACCTCTGGGTTTGCCATGGCTTGAGGAGCTCCAGGCTCTGGCCGAGCCCAGCTGACCCCGGGCACCCCCATGCAAGCAAAGCAGGGATTTCCACGGGCCGGTCTGTGTGCTGGGCCTCAGCTCTCCCACCCCTGACCCCGTGTTCCCTCCTGTCCTGCAGTGGTGCTTCAATGGCGAGTGTGTTCCCGTGGGCTTCCGGCCCGAGCCCATCGACGGCGGCTGGAGCTCCTGGAGCGCCTGGGCCTCCTGCTCCCGCAGCTGTGGGGCAGGAGTGCAGAGTGCTGAGAGGCACTGCAGCCAGCCCACGTAAGCCAGCCCTGAGCCCGGACTGCCCAGACCCCAGCATGGAGGAGTCTGGGGAGTCACAGAATGCTGGGGTGGGTTGGGCTGGGGGGGACTGCTTCCATCTCCTGCCCTGGAGTGCTGCAGTCTGACTCAAACAAAGGGCAGAGGCTCCACGCTCAGAGATGTAAAACATATCCAGTGTCCTTTAGTGACAGAACAGCAAACCAGGCATTCTTGGAGCCTGATTCAGAGTTGTTTTGAAAAATCCTGCTGCAGTTTATCACCCTGCTGCATTCCATCAGCCAGTGCTGGCTGGAAGTGTCCGGGCACTGCTGGAGGAGCTGCCATCTCCATCCTGGGATTTCTGCTGACCCATCTGCTCCCCAGATGTCCCCTTGGTCACCAAACCCCTGTTGCACTGGATTCAGCCAAAACCCCCAGCTTGCCCTGGTGTCAGAGCAGCCTGGGATGGGGAGGAAAAGGGCTTTATGGTGTTCACCATGGCATGGGGAGCGCTGGCAGCCCCAGGAGTGAACTCCTGTCCCTTCCAGCCATGCTCTGCCCATCCTCTTCCTCGGGTGAGTTTGGTACGTGCTGCTGGGCTCTTGAGGGAAGTACTCTGTCATCTCAGTCCTGGATCAGGACCTGGATTTGTGTTTGACGTAAACGCTGTGGCAGAGGTGCTGTGGTGGTTTGTGGAGTGCTCCAAACACAGCTGTGGACAGGCAGGAGAGCAAACACTGGGAATTTCCCGGGCAGTTGTTTGCTTTGGCCACTGGAGGTAAATCTACAGCTTTGCCCTTGGGATGAGGTGAGAAAATGTGTGCTGGGCATCCCCCCCTCCCACAGCCATTCCTCAGGGCAGAGCGTGTAAACACAGCCCTAAAATAATCATTGGCTTCATTCTCTTCAGCAGAGTGTGCCCAGGGGAAGGGATTCTCGTGGGGTCACTGGGACATGGGCCATGGACAGTGGTGTGACCGAAGGACAAGGCAGCAGAGTGGGAGATGGTGGCCGTGTTGTGAGGGTCTGCTGGCATCTGAGGAAAGCACTGCTGTGCTTCTCGAGTCTCTCCTGCTTTAACAAGTCCAGTGTCAGCTTTGCTGTTCCCTGGGGCAGTAGAGGAGCAGAGTCAGGAGGATTCCCTGGGTGGGATGGAGAGCAGCTCCTCCAGAGCAGCTGCAGGAAGGGCACCAGGCTGGACGGGGCTTGGAGCTGCCTGGTCTGTGGAAGGTGTCCCTGCCCACAGCAAGGGGTGGAACAGGGATGGACTCCGAGGTCCCTTCTGACCCAAACCATTGCAGAGCTCTGTGACTCTGAGGCCTGTGCCCTGCCAGCCCTTGTGACCGGTTTGTGCCTCCCCCAGGCCCAAGTACGGGGGCCGGTACTGCCTGGGCGAGCGCAAGCGGTTCCGGATCTGCAACGTGCGGCGCTGCCCCCGGGACAAGCCCTCCTTCCGCCAGGTCCAGTGCAGCCAGTTCAACCCCATGCTCTACAAGGGGAAGCTCTACAAGTGGACTCCAGTGCCCAACAACAGTGAGTGCAGGGCAGAGACCTCAAACCTGGAGCGGCTCGGGAGTGGCCGTAGCCGCTGTTTGTGTCCCTGCCTTGCCTTGTGCCCCACTCGTGCTGTGATTTGTATTTTACACTGCCCTGGGCTTGCAGGGTTGATGTGTGCTTTCGGCTCTGCAGCGCTGGGGCTGAGTGTGTGCCTGTTCCCCAGTGAACCCCTGCGAGCTGCACTGCCGGCCCGAGCACGAGTACTTTGCGGAGAAGCTGCGGGACGCGGTGGTGGACGGCACGCCCTGCTACGACAGCGACGCCAGCCGCGACGTCTGCATCAACGGCATCTGCAAGGTGGGCTGGCACCGGGGACACCCCGGGCCTGCAGAGCGCCCACGGGGCAGCACCCAGCCTTGGGCACTCGGCATCCCCTCCCTCTCGTGCTGAGCTCGTCCTTCTGCCATTCCCCGCTTGGAGAGCGTTCCTGGTTCCCCTGGGGTGACTGCTGCAGGCTGTGTCAGCCTCTGTGCTGGCCTCAAGGAGCCAGGGCACCACCCAGGCCAGGATGGATGCAACCTGGAGCAGCCTTGGACACCCTGGTCTCAGGGAAGGTGTCCCTGCCCATGGCAGGGGGCTGGAACTGCATTGTCCTTAAGGTCCCTTCCCCCCCAAGCCATGCCAGGACGCTGTGAATCCAAGGTCCCTTCCCCCCCAAAGCCATGCCAGGATGCTGTGAATCCAAGGTCCCTTCCACCACAAGCCATGCCAGGATGCTGTGAATCCAAGGTCCCTTCCACCCCAAGCCATGCCAGGATGCTGTGAATCCAAGGTCCCTTCCACCCCAAGCCATGCCAGGATGCTGTGAATCCAAGGTCCCTTCCACCCCAAGCCATGCCAGGATGCTGTGACTCCCTTGGGGACGATGCAGTCGGTGCTGGGAGGTGCTGGGAGGTGCTGTGTGGGGCTGACAGGCTGCCTTGCAGAACGTGGGCTGTGACTATGAGATTGACTCGCACGCCGTGGAGGATCGCTGCGGGGTGTGCCACGGGGACGGCTCCACCTGCCACACCGTGCACAAGACCTTCGAGGACAGCGAGGGGCTGGGTAAGGGCACCTCCTGCTGCCCCCAGAGCACCCCGTGCTGGTCCAGCACAGCTGGGCTGCTGCTGCTCCTTTGGAGGGGGAGTTTAATTCCAGCTTCTTGATTTTTGGGGGGTAAGGCAGCAGGGAAGTCAGGTGGGCGCAGGGCAGGGTAGGGCTCGGTGCCCACTGGTGCCTTACAGGGGTGCAAGGATTGGCACAGTGCTGGCACCCAGGGGTCACAGCACCCACCCAAGGGCAAAAATCACCTCAGACACCTCTGACTCCCCCAAGACCAAGGCTTGGTTCCATTCCCAGGCTATGTGGACATTGGGATTATCCCCGTGGGAGCCCGGGAGATCCGGATTGAAGAGGTGGCAGAAGCCGGGAATTTCCTGGCGCTGCGGAGCGAGGACCCCGAGAAGTATTTCCTGAATGGAGGCTGGACCATCCAGTGGAACGGGGACTACAGGGTGGCAGGGACCACCTTCACCTACAAGAGGACAGGCAACTGGGAGAACCTCACCTCTCCGGGGCCCACCGTGGAGCCCGTGTGGATCCAGGTAGGATGGATCCTGCCCTCCTCGTGGGGCTGAGCTGCCGTGGCCCCTCACAGCCCTCCCTGCATGCAGAGGATGGCTCTGCCCTCCTCAGGGTGTGTTTCCCTGGGAGCCAGCGCTGGGGCAGCCAAGCACACGCTGCCAGCCCGGGGATGTTCCCAGCCCACACCACTTGGAGCTGAGCCTCATCCCCTTTGCAGCATTCCGCAGAATATTTGCACAGGAGAGGGAGAGTGAGGAGAAAGAGCCGTTTCCTGAGGCCTTTCCCGTATCTTATCACCAGCAGGGAAAGAGCCCCTGGTGCTTCTGGCTGGGCTGGCCAGTCAGGAGGGAGGGAGCTGCCCACTCCTGCAGAGCTGTGGGAGTCACTGTCCTTGTGACCGTGAGGCCAGGCCTTCCTCTGCAGAAACCAGTGGGGATCATCCCACACGTGATGGCACAGCTGGCACCGGTGGCCACGGAGCTGCATCCCATGGACCCCCAGGATCCCCCTGCCCTGGCAGTGGTGGCTCAGCCCCACACACTCCCCAGAGCATCCCCTCCTTTGCACGGGCTGTCCCAGGGCTCAGCCACCCCAAGCAGCCGCAACCTCCTCCTGCCTTTCCTTCAGCAGCAGCTCGGGGTGGGATGTGAGCAGGATCCTGGGCCTGCTGCTGCCAAGGGCTGCTGTCAATGGGAATGCTGGCACGCTCAGCACCCACAAATCACTTTCTGGGATTCATAACCTAATTAAAACCCGTGGACAACAGCGTTTCGATATTCATGGAGAGGTTTTGGAAAGGCGCCCTGGCTCTCCCGCCAAAGCTCCAAGAACAACAAAGCTTTGGCAATAATGGGAGTGCTTAGGCTAAGAAAAACAGGGATGAACTCCCGGCCCTCGTGAGGCGGGTGCTTCCAGCAGGGCTTGTGTCAACCACAGGAGCAGCAGGAGCCCCTCTGCAGTGGGAGGCAGTTTGGGAAATTCCACCCGTGGGCAGGGACACCTTCCACAAACCAGGCTTACTCCAAATCCCATCCAGCTCTGTTGGGGTGCTGGGCACAGGGTCACATTCTTCTGGTCCTGCTGGGCAGCTCCTTCACCCTGAGAAGCCCCTGGGGCAGTGCCACCCCCCCACTGCCCTGCCCAGCCACCTCCTGCCTGTCCCCTGTGTCCCCAGCTGCTGTTCACCCTGTGCCTGTCCCATGTCCCCAGCTGCTGTCCCCTGTGTCCCCAGCTCCGTTCACCCCTGCCCATCCCCTGTGTTCCCAGCTCTGTTCACCCTGTGCCTGTCCCATGTCCCCAGCTCTGTTCACCCCTGCCCATCCCCTGTGTCCCCCAGCTGCTGTCCCCTGTGTCCCCAGCTCCGTTCACCCCTGCCTGTCCCCTGTGTCCCCAGCTCCATTCACCCCTGCCAATCCCCTGTGTCCCCCAGCTGCTGTCCCCTGTGTCCCCAGCTCTGTTCACCCCTGCCTGTCCCCTGTGTCCCCAGCTCCATTCACCCCTGCCCATCTCCTGTGTCCCCAGCTCCGTTCACCCCTGCCCATCCCCTGTGTCCCCAGCTGCTGTTCCCTGTGTCCCCCAGCTGCTGTCCCCTGTGTCCCCAGCTCTGTTCACCCCCTGCCCATCCCCTGTGTCCCCCAGCTGCTGTCCCCTGTGTCCCCAGCTCCATTCACCCCTGCCCATCCCCTGTGTCCCCAGCTGCTGTTCCAGGAGACCAACCCCGGGGTGAGGTACCAGTACACGATCCAGCGCCCAGCTGACAGCGAGAATGAGATCGAGCAGCCCGAGTTCCTGTGGCGCTTTGGCTCCTGGACCACCTGCACGGCCACCTGTGGGACAGGTGAGCAGAGCCCCGGGACACCCACTTGGAGCGGTGGAGGGTCCCTGGGGAGCCTTTGAAATTCCTGGGTCTTGGGTTTCACGGGTCCTGGGGGAAGAAGAAAGGCGCAGCTGCTGAGGTCAGGGCCCGTGTGCTCAGCAGGAACCCCAGGGCTTTATCAGCACCGTGCTCCCGGCTCGGTGTCCTGTTACCCTGCACGGATGGAAACAAAAGAGCTTTAGAGAAGCCAGGGAGTGTGGAAGGGCTGGTCTCCTGCCTGGCTGGGCCTCTCCAGCGGGGAGGATATCCAGGGTTTCACGGAGAGCACGGGGGTCCCACAGTGTCCGTGTGTGGACATTTGCCTCCCCCCTTCTGCCCCGCTGGCTGGGTGTCCCAGGGTCCCCAGGGCAGCTTTTGGGGCAGCTGGTGCAGAAGGACATTTCTGGAGCACTGCCAGGGGAGGCTGGGAGCAGCAAGCACTTCCTCGAGAGCAGCTGGCACTGGAAAAAAGGGGAATTCAAGGACACTTGTGCTTTCTAGGTAGCACAGAGTGCCAGGACATGGGCTTTGTTTAAAACCAGCTTTTCTTTGTATGATTCGAGTGCTTGGCTTCCAGAAGGGAAGGGAAATAGAGGAGCGAATCAGGCAGGAGTGGGGTGAGGGTGAGCAGCTGGAGGAGGGCTGAGCCCCTCTTCCTGCACTGAGTGATGATGTGAGATGAGATGTGGGTTTGGGAGAGCTCACAGCGAGCCTCTGGTGAGTCCCAAGGCCCTGCAAGCTCCCAAGTGCTTGAGCCAGAGCCCAGCTCAGCAGCTTCAGCAGGGTTCTGTCAGCCTCAGCTGGGCCCGTGGTGACAGCTCTCCATGTCACAGGTCAAGTACGTGTCACAGGAACGGGGACAGGAGCCTGAGCGAGGCAGCGTGCTGAGGTCACCCTGTGACAGGCTGGGGACACGAGGCTTTGGGCAGTGTTTGTCCCCGATTTGGGCTGGGGCAGGGCTGCCCAAGGAGCCGAGTGCTGCCCCTTGGCAGCCTCCAGAGCTCACAGTGCCCACAGTGGCTGGGTGTGCTCTGGGCAGTGCTGCCAGCCTGGTGCTGCTCCCTGGGCTCCAGCTGCCATCCTGCCCCAGTGCCAGGGCACCTCAGCCTCTGCCCCAATGAACTTGCACCTTCCAGTGGTGCTTTCATTTCCTTCCCACTGCCCTGGCTCTCCAAGAGCCTCCTGTGCCCTGCTGGGTGGTTGGGTTCGGGTTCCAAAGCGGTGCTGGCGCCCCGGGGGTGGCTGTCAGTGCCCCGGGGGTGCCCTCAGCGCCCCGGGGGTGCCCTCAGCGCCCCGGGGGTGCCCTCAGTGCCCGTCCTCCCGCAGGGGTGCAGCGGCAGGTGGTGCACTGCGTGGAGAGGCTGGCGGGGCTGGTGGAGGAGCGGTTCTGTGACGCGCTGACGCGCCCCGATGACCAGCAGCGCACCTGCAGCGAGGAGCCCTGCCCAGCCAGGTGCCACCCGCACCCTGTCCCCGCTCCCTCGCCCTGGCCAGGGGTCCCAGGCCCCGGGCTGGTCCGTGACAGCATCCCTGGGGTTTCCTGACCGCCGCAGGCATTGCCTGTCCACAGGCTGGGCCTCACAGATGGTCCCGTCGTGGCAGGATGCTCCTCTCTGCCTCTGTGCACAGCTCGGGGACTGTCCCGTCCCTGACCCTCTGCCCGAGCTCACAGACCCTGGGATGACGCATTTGGGATCCTCCTTTCCCCATGGCCTCACGCGATGGGCAGTGGGATGGATCCTGGGGCACGGCTGCTTGCTCTGGCTGAGATATTTCTCTTTCCTTTTCTCCCTTTTTTCCCCCCCTATTTCCCCCCCCTGTTTTTCCCTTTCCCCCGCAGGTGGTGGGTGGGTGAGTGGCAGCAGTGCTCAGCCACGTGTGGCCAGGCAGGGCTGATGAAGAGGACGGTGCTGTGCATCCAGAGCGTGGGGCTGGATGAGCAGAGGGCCCTGCAGCCAGCAGACTGCCAGCACCTCACCAAGCCAGATGCCACCATGCCCTGCCACCCAGAGGTCCCCTGTCCCTCCCCATGGGCTCTGGGCAACTGGTCCGAGGTGAGAGGGGACCCTGGGGATGTGCCAGTGTCTGGCAAAGGGGTGGGAGCTGGGGACAGGAGTCCCTGGACACTTCACCCTGCCCCAGAGTGATGGGTGTGCTCCTGCTCACAGAAATCCATGGCTGTGTCCCTGTGGGTTCCCCTGGATGGGAATTCCATTGTTTGGAGAGGTCTCAGGGTGAAGAAGGAGCACTGGGCAGTTTAACTGTGCCCCAGCTCCCATGGATGGGGATTCCATTGCTTGGAGAGGTTTCAGGGTGGGGAAGGAGCATTGGGCAGTTTAAGTGTGCCCCAGCTCCCATGGATGGGAAGGAATTCCATTGCTTAGGGAGGTCTCAGGGTGGGGAAGGAGCATTGGGCAGTTTAACTGTGCCCCAGCTCCCATGGATGGGAAGGAATTCCATTGCTTGGAGAGGCTCAGGATGAGGAAGGAGCATTGGGCAGTTTAACTGTGCCCCAGCTCCCCTGGATGGGGATTCCATTGCTTGGAGAGGCTCAGGATGAGGAAGGAGCATTGGGCAGTTTAACTGTGCCCCAGCTCCCCTGGATGGGGATTCCATTGCTTGGAGAGGCTCAGGATGAGGAAGGAGCACTGGGCAGTTTAAGTGTGCCCCAGCTCCCATGGATGGGAAGGAATTCCATTGCCTGGGGAGGTCTCAGGATGGGGAAGGAGCACTGGGCACTTTAACTGTGCCCCAGCTCCCATGGATGGGGATTCCATTGCTTGGAGAGGGCTCAGGATGGGGAAGGGGCATTGGGCAGTTTAAGTGTGCCCCAGCAATGGGTTTTGCAGCTCCCTCACTCACACAGGGTGAGGGCCACGCTCTGTGCTTGGCACAAGGAAAGCAGAAATGAGGTTTTCAGCTGGACAGGGCTTGGAACAGCCTGGTGCACTGGAAGGTGTCCCTGCCCAGGGCAGGAGGTGGAACTGGATGATCTTCAAGGTCCCTTCCAAGCCAAATGATTCCATGGGGTGATTAATGGTGACACTCTGTGTAGCCTTGATTTATTTTTGTGTTTTGTGAATCAGCTTAGCCACAGGCTGAGGGTTTCAACCAGAAAATGATAACTCCTAATTTAAACAGCCGTTCCAAAAGTGTTCAGAGTGAAGACAAATATCAGGAGAGAAAGGAGAGAGCCTGGGAACAGAGCTTGTTGCTAAGGAACAAATGGAATCAAATGTGAACAGAGGATTTGAAGGCTAGATGAGAGCAAGTTGGAAATATTTTTCTAGGGGCCCACAAAAGCCACAATTAAGGGCTGAGAAAGATGGATGCAATGATTTAAAGGGAAAATTATGGCTTGTAGGTGGGTCAGAACTGGGCAGGGCAGCCCCAGCCCTCACTGCTGGCCTCTGTGGTGTTGGCACCAGTGGATTTGTGAGCCCTGGAGAAAATGCGTTTGGGATTTTGAGGTTCTGTAATTTTTCTGTCCTTTAATTGAAAGGGAGAGCCCTCTTTCTTTTCCATTTCCACCATAACCAGGGGGATTGGAGGGGTTTGGAAGCTTCCCAGAGCTGTGGTCGTTCTGTCAGCAGAACCAGCAGGGTGGGACAGCTTTGTCTGCAGAGCCCAGGCAGGAGCAGTGTGCCCACCTGGCACCGGGCACCTGGCCCTGCCACAGGGGCTATCAGGGCTCTGGGTGGCTGCTGCACGCTGGGACTCAGTGCCCCAGGAGGACCCCAGAGCTCTGCACGCCCAGCTTTGTGGAGTTTCCAGAGGAGCTGATGTGGTCAGAAGGCTGCTTTGTGGCTCTTGAGGGGAGCAGCTCCTTGCAGCCCTCTCGCAGTGTTGGTGTGTGGTGATGGTTGATTCCAGCTCCAGAAATGCCTGCTGGTGACCATGTGGTGCTACCAGAGAGTCCTGGAATGCCCTGGGGTGGAAGGGACCTTAGAGCCCATCTGGTTCTGCCCCCTGCCATGGGCAGGGACACCTTTCACAAGCCTGGGTTGCTCCAAGCCCCAAATGCAGCAGAAAATGCTGCTGTTCTCCTTTCCAGTTTCTTTTGTGCTGGCCCATCTGAAAGAGCCCATTATGGGGGGATGGTGTGTCCCCAGCAAAGCTCCCTCCTGACCTTTGCTTTTCCCCTACTCGGACAACACCCATGTTGTTATTCCCTGCTTCAAAGAATGCTCTTCTAGAAGAAGAGCTGCAATTCATGGCCATAGGTCACAGGAAAGGCCCATTAGCTCATCCCACCCCTGCCCTTCCCAGCCTCCATCTCCTGGGAAAGCTGTTCCTGGCTGGAAAGCAGGGCAAGGATCACCCTGAGCAAATCCCCAGCCCCAGCCCTGCTGTGGCACAGTCTGCAGTGGGATTTGGGCAGTAATGCTCTCTGCTTGCAGGGTGAGCAGTGCCCTACACTGGGACTGGCACAGGAGCTGTCCGGGGCCCGGGAGGGCGGTGGGGGCTGGCAGAGGGACGTGGAGCCCTCACAGGGGGAGCACTGGCACCACTGCTGGCCTTGCCCCTCTGTGACCGTGCTCACAGGGGTCCCAGGATGAGGGAGGAGATGAGGGTCTGACTCCGTGTTTCAGAAGGCTTGATTTATTATTTTATGATATATATTACATTAGAACTAGACTAAAAGAATAGAAGAAAGGATTTCATCAGAAGGCTAGCTAAGAATAGGAAAAGGAAGAATGATCACAAAGGTTTGTGGCTCAGCTCTCTGTCCCAGCCAGCTGACTGTGATTGGCCATTAATTACAAACATCTAACATGGGCCAATCACAGATCCACCTGCTGCACTCCACAGCAGCAGATAACCATTGGTTACATTTTGTTCCTGAGGCCTCTCAGCTTCTCAGGAGGAGCAATCTTAAAGAAAAGCTTTTTCATAGGAGCTGTCTGCGACACCCCACAGCCGTGCCCCTCTCTCTTGCCTCCCCAGTGCTCGGTGACCTGTGGGAACGGGACCCAGCGGCGCCCCGTGCACTGCAGCAACAGCACTGGGGCCCCGTGCGACCCTGCGCAGAGACCCAGCCCCGAGAGGCTTTGCTCCTTGCCACAGTGCCACCAGGAATGGGACAGCACAGACTGGTCTGGCAGCGGCTCCTCCAGCAGGGAGGTGTTTAATGAAATCCATTACATCCCCAGCAACCACGTTCCTAAATTTAACCCCTTAGTCCCAAACGTCCCGGAGTCCAACGATGCCAACGTCATCACCGAGGAGGACTTCTCAGCCAGGAAAGGAAACGTCTTTGTGGATGACTTTTACTACGATTACAACTTTATCAACTTCCACGAGGATCTGTCCTACTACCCCTTCACGGAGAAGGAGAGCAAAGGCGAGGAGCCAAAGGCAGAGCTGGGCACGGATGGCACGGAGGGGCCCTGGGAGCTGCCCACTGAGTCCCTGCTCACCACCGAGCTGGGAGGAGAGAGCCAGGGCCAGCCGGGCCCCGAGGAGGAGCACACTTCTGCCCCTGTGCATGGGCAAGACACAGAGCCTGGGGGGCATTTAGCCTCGAGTGACCTCCTGAGCATGGGCCCCGAGGATGTGGGGTCAGCCACTCCCAGATACACCACCCCTGGCTTTTTGGGTGAGCAGGAGGAGGATACGGTGCCTGTGCCCCACTCTGAGCATCACCCGCCCACTCAGAGCTCTGTGAGCCCCAACTCTGCAAACCACGGCCAGGCAGGGCCCTGGGATGAGCCCCACGGAGCCGTGCCCAGCAGGAGCAGCCTGGGGCAGGATCTCTCTGCTCCCTGGGATGTGGGCTGGGGCAGTGCCCAGGTGGATGTGTCTCTTGGGCCAGCAGCACGGGGCAGCAGCAGCGAGGGCCGTGTGGGCACACAGGGACGTGGCACTGCAGGGAGAGGCCACGGGGACTCCAGGGAAATGGCTCTGGCCACCAGCAGTGGCATTCCTGGTGCAGCCCCACAGCCCAGTGAGCAGCACGGGTGGGCAGGGATGCCAGAGGGGATGCTGGACACGTGGGCAGGAGGGCAATCCCATGGCACGGAGAGGGCAGATCTTGCCTTGCATGGCCCGGGCTGGGAGGTGGCAGGGAGTGCTGGCAGCCCCCACCCTGCCCTGAGTCCCCCTCCTGTGGGACAGGGAGGGCACCAGCCAGAGCTCCACAGCCCCACAGCCCCCACCTCAACCCCCTCGCTGGCCACAACAGCCCCTCCAGTGCCCCTGTCCCCTGCCATGCCCGGGCCAGCCGCCCAGCTCACCTCCAGTGGCCTCAGCCAGCAGGGTGGCCTGGGCCCAGCCGTGCCCACAGCCCCAGCTCGTGGCCCACCTGCCCACACTGCAGGGCCCCCCCGGGAATGGGGGACACAGGGGGTGTCTCTGCACCCGGATCTGGCATCACACCACACTGAGCTGACCTCCCACGGGACCCCACTCAGCATCCCTGCTCCGAGGGCACCCCCAGGGACACCAACGAGGCACCCCTCACCATGGGCACCCCCAGGGACACCACCGAGGGACCCCTCACCATGGGCACCCCCAGAGACACCAACGGGGGACCCCTCACCGTGGGCACCCCCAGGGACACCAACGGGGGACCCCTCACCGTGGGCACCCCCAGGAACACCTGCCTCCAGTGACAGGGGGAAGGAGTTGTCCCAGCCCAGCCCTTTGCCCCCCCTGCTCTGGGAGAAGAGGCTGGAGGAAGAGGAGGATGAGGATGAGGAGGAGGCTCTGCTTCCACCATCACCCCCTGCAGCAGCCCCTGCCAAGCCCAGCTGGGAGGTCGGGAACTGGAGTGAGGTACGTGGTGAGTCCCATTGCAAGTGTGACAGGGCCAGTGTGGGTGTGAGACCTCCCCCTGTCCTGGCTGCCTCTGGGACGTTTCTCTTGTCACAGGGCACGTGTCAGGTTTTGGGGCAGTTCTTGGGGTGCACAGCAGCGTTCCCTGCGTTGCAGAGCTGGGGTCAGGTTTTGGGGCAGGTTCTTGCAGCGTTCCCTGTGTTGCAGTGCAGGTGTCAGGTTTTGGGGCGGGTTTTGGGGTGCACAGCAGCGTTCCCTGCGTTGCAGAGCAGGTGTCAGGTTTTGGGGCAGGTTCTTGCAGCGTTCCCTGTGTCACAGGGCAGGTGTCAGGTTTTGGGGCAGTTCTTGCAGCGTTCCCTGCATTGCAGTGCAGGTGTCAGGTTTTGGGGCGGGTTTTGGGGCGTTCCCTGCATTGCAGTGCAGGTGTCAGGTTTTGGGGCAGGTTTTGGGGCAGTTCTTGCAGCGTTCCCTGTGTCACAGGGCAGGTGTCAGGTTTTGGGGCCGGTTTTGGGGCAGTTCTTGCAGCGTTCCCTGTGTTGCAGAGCAGGTGTCAGGTTTTGGGGCAGGTTTTGGGGCAGTTCTTGCAGCGTTCCCTGTGTTGCAGTGCTGGGGTCAGGTTTTGGGGCCGGTTTTGGGGTGCACAGCAGCATTCCCTGCATTGCAGTGCAGGTGTCAGGTTTTGGGGCCGGTTTTGGGGCAGTTCTTGCAGCGTTCCCTGTGTTGCAGTGCAGGTGTCAGGTTTTGGGGCGGGTTTTGGGGTGCACAGCAGCGTTCCCTGTGTCACAGGGCAGGTGTCAGGTTTTGGGGCCGGTTTTGGGGCAGTTCTTGCAGCGTTCCCTGTGTTGCAGTGCTCGGCCACGTGCGGCCTGGGCGCGGTGTGGCGCTCCGTGCGCTGCAGCAGTGGCCCTGACGGTGGCTGTCCCGCGGCCGACAGGCCCGTCCCCGCCCGGAGGTGCTCCCTGAGACCCTGCTCGGCCTGGCGTGTGGGCACCTGGAGCAAGGTACGGGCCCTGCGGGGAGGGAGGGTCCCCAAACCCACGGGACAAGGCGTGGGTCACACCTGCTCTTGGGGAGGGCTCTCATGGCTCACAGAGGTAAAGGTTTGTGCTCGCCATGAAATACTCATTCCACAATATTTTCATTTTTCCTGGTCCTGGGCTGGTATAAAAGTCAGGAATTTGTTAAGCTAAAGCTAAACAAAGTGATTTGATGAACGGCCAGGTTGGGTGGGGCTGGACAGCCTGGTCTAGCAGGTGCCATCCCATGGCAGGGGTTTTAAGGAACAAGGTGGTCTTTAAGGTCCATTGCAAGCCATTCTATGATTTATCATGTGTTCTGGCCATTCTGCCCTGCCAGGGGCTGTTTGCAGTTGGGTTGGGTGAGTTTGGTAGGGTTGGTGGTGGGGAGCAGCCCTCCTTGCTCTGGGTGGTTGCTGTTCCTTGGGATCATCAGTTCTTTAAGGCAAAAAGACTGTTCCTGTTCCAGCTGGAAACCAGCTGGTTTCAGAGGGGTGGTAGTGACAGATGAGCTGCACAGACAGTGCTCTGGCTTGGCCTAGAGCAAGAGGGGAAAGCAGGAACCCAACTCAGGGCAGAGCGTGTCCCTGGGGTCACCTCCCATCCCCACAGGGATCCCCCCTGCCTGGCCCTGTTGTCCCTTCCCAGTGTGGCTCTGTATCCCTCCCCAGTGTGGCTCTGTGTCCCTCCCCACGGTGTCTCTGTCCTCCCCAGTGCTCCAGGAGCTGCGGTGGGGGCACCAAGGTGCGGGACGTTCACTGTGTTGACACCCGGGACCAGCGGCTGCTGCGGCCCTTCCACTGCCAGGCAGGGCTGGCACAGCCCCCGGCACAGCTGCCCTGCCACAGTGCCCCGTGCCTGGACTGGTACACGTCCTCCTGGAGAGAGGTACGGGCTGGCCTGGGCTCAGCTCGGCCCACCCTGCCAGGCCAGGGACCCCTGTGCTATCCCAGGTGGCTCCAAGCCCTGTGTTCCACTGGCCTGGGACACTGCCAGGGATCCAGGGGTACCCACAGCTGTGCTGGGAACTCCATCTCAGCTCCTTGCCACCCTCCCAGGGAACAATTCCTGCCCCATCTCCCATCCATCCCTGCCCAATCTCCCACCCATCCCTGCCCCAATCTCCCACCCATCCCTGCCCCATCTCCCACCCATCCCTGCCCAATCTCCCATCCATCCCTGCCCAATCTCCCACCCATCCCTGCCCCAATCTCCCATCCATCCCTGCCCAATCTCCCACCCATCCCTGCCCCATCTCCCATCCATCCCTGCCCCATCTCCCATCCATCCCTGCCCCATCTCCCATCCATCCCTGCCCTCTGGCACTGGCAGCCATTCTCTGTGTGCTGTCCCTCCATCCCTTGTCCCCAGTCCCTGTCCAGCTCTCTGAAGCCCCTTTGGGCCCTGGCCGGGCTCTGGGCTCTCCCGGAGCCCCTCCAGGCCCAGCTGTGTGCAGCAGGGGCTCAGCCCTGCCCTGCTGTGTCCCGCAGTGCTCGGAGCCGTGTGGTGGCGGCGAGCAGGCCCGGCTGGTGACGTGCCCGGAGCCGGGGCGCTGCGAGGAGAGCCTGAGGCCCAACAGCACCCGGCCCTGCAACAGCCAGCCCTGCACCACCTGGGTGGTGGGCTCCTGGGGACAGGTGAGCAGGGCTGGGCCCCTCCAGGGCACCTGCAGGGAATGGGGACCCTCTGGGGCTGTCCAAGGCTCCAGGGACCTGCAGGGAATGGGCACCCTCTGGGGCCGTCCCCAGGCTGAGCCCAGGGACCTGCAGGGAATGGGGACCCTCTGGGGCTGGCCAAGGCTCTGGGGACCTGCAGGGAATGGGGAGGCTCTGGGGCTGTCCCCAGGCTCTGGGGACCTGCAGGGAATGGGGACCCTCTGGGGCTGTCCCCAGGCTGAGCCCAGGGACCTGCAGGGAATGGGGAGCCCAAGGTGGCTCTGGGGCTGTCCCAGGCTGAGCCCCGGGGCCCTGCAGGGAATGGGGAGGCTCTGGGGCTGTCCCCAGGCTCTGGGGACCTGCAGGGAATGGGGACCCAGGGTGGCTCTGGAGCTGTCCCAGGCTAAGCCCCAGGGACCTGCAGGGAATGGGGAGCCCAGGGTGGCTCTGGGGCTGTCCCCAGGCTGCCCAGGGTGGCTCTGGGGCTGTGCCAGGCTGAGCCCAGGGACATACAGGGAATGGGGAGCCCAGGGTGGCTCTGGGGCTGTGCCAGGCTGAGCCCCAGCTCCCCACAGTGCTCAGCTCCCTGTGGAGGCGGCATCCAGCGGCGGCAGGTGAAGTGCATCGACACCAGGAGCGGGGTGGCCGAGGAGGACAGCAGCCTGTGTGACCACGAGCCCTGGCCAGAGAGCACCCAGAAGTGCAACCCCCAGGAGTGCGACAGCTCCGAGCCAGGTGAGCAAAACCCGGCTGGAGAAGGGTGTGGGAGGTCTGGGGAGATGGAGGGAGCGGTTCCTCCGTGGGTTCTGTAAGGCTGAGCCTGATGATTCAGTGGGAATGTTGTAACTGTCTGTAAATGTCCAGAGCATCCCTCCCTCGAGGGGCCAGCAGATGTGAGCTGGGATGGGCTTGCTGGGGTCAGCAGTGTCACCCAGCACAGGGACAGCCCCAGGGACCCTGTGGGGTGAAAGGACCCAGCCAGGGGCAGCAGGGCATTCAGGAAAAGGAAGGCACAGGGGAATACCCAGCCATGGAGTCTCAGGAAGCTGTTCAGTGGTAAAGTCCCAGAACACAAGACTTGTGAAGCAAGCTGGGCCCAGCATGAGAAAATGGAATAAAGGAGCAGTTCTCCAGCATCTTCAGGTGTGTCTGAGCAGGTACTCCAGGGAGCCAGCCCCATGTCAACCTGTTTGTCATTTACCTGCCCCAGCTGCAGCCACAGTGCTTGGCCACACCACAGGCACTCACTTGGCTTCTCCTCCCTCTTCCACTCACAGAGATACAACCCAAGCACCAGGCACTTCCCTGGGAGACAGAAATCTGGGCGCTGCAAGGGTTAACAGCACTTACAGAAAAGCAGTATAATGAGGGATTAGATGTCACTGATATCAGCATGTCAGTCACTTACCAGCTTTATCTCTTTCATGTGTCTGTGAGAAAGAAAAGCTCTTTGGCTGCCCAGAAGGTGTTGTTGGACCTCCAGGAGGTTTGCTGGCCAAAGGGAGGGCTGAGAGGTGGGGCAGGGGGCAGCAGTAGCTGGTGCCTGGGGTGGAGGAGCCAGATCCACGGCAGCTCCACACATCCCTGAGGTCCCCTCTGCAGCCTGGGGCACCCATTCCACCCTTCCAGCTCTTTTTGTTTGTCCCAACACCAATTGCAGAGCAGGCAGGAGCGTTGGCTTTGGTTAACTGGGATTTGGGCACTGGCACTGTTGGCCATCAGGATGTTTTTAGCCATGAATCTGCTCCTTTTTTGGAGCATTTGCAGGGCCATGGGGCACTCCAGCGTTTAGGAAATGATGAGTCAGCCCTGCTCAAGACACGATGTGCGGTTCCGGCTGTTTTGGTCAGGGGAAAATTTCCGTGCCAGGCTTGGTGATGAGAGCTGTGGAGCCAAGGCTGGACCAGAATAACCACTGAGATGTGTAGGAAGCACACAAATAAATGGTGAAATCCTGGATCAAAAATGACATAAATGCTCTGGCTGCAGCCCAGGGCAGGAAACGCCTCTTGGAAATACAAACGTTTCCAGCCAAAGCATGAAGGGGAACAAAACTTTCACATGGCAGGAAATCCCAGATGTGTAAATGCACAGGCAAAGGCTCCCAGAACGACATAAATGTAACTCCAGCCCTTTCCTGTGCTTTGGAGGATCTCTACTGCACAAGATGGGCTCAGGCTGGAGCGATCCATGTTTTTGTGAGGAGCACAAGGAGCCTCTCCCTCCTCTGGCATGAATGAGGTGCTCCAGTGCCAGCAGAACCAGGGCTGGCTCTTGTGAGTGGTCGTGTCCTTACTGGACACAAAAAGTGCCAATAACCCCAGCAGGGTTTAAATGTTCAAACCATTATCAGATGGATTTGGAGCAGAGATGGAACAGATGAAGCACAAACAAACGTCTCACAGCAGTCGGCTCCTCAATTAAAGGAGGTCGGGATTAATTAGAACCAGAGTCCTGAGCTGTTGCCAAGTTATAAATTAATTGGAGATTCCACCAAGGTTATTTTTGACTGTGGCTGTTGCCTTCCAGCTGCAGCCAGCTGTGAGGGTGTCCTTAGATGGCTCCTGGGAGCTCCAGAGCCGTGGGCACCCCAGTGCCTCCGTGTGATGCTCCAGGGGCTGGGGACATTTGTCTGGGAATTGTTTATGGTGTTGTGGAAAGGAGCTGAGCCCCAGGTCTGCACGGGGGCCTGGAGAAGCCTGCACCAGTTTATCCAGCAGATCAGAGAGATTTCAACCAGAGAAGTGGGAATTGCTGTGTACTGGAGGAGGAACCAGGGTGAATGGAGCTGGGCACAGCAAATCCTGGTGCTGGTGACACATCCCTGCCCAGGACAGAGCAGGGCAGCCCCGGGTGCTCATCAGGGTCATGCCATGGAATGAACCAGTTCTCTCATGCCCATTTCTCCAGATCTGATACCAGGGAGGTCTCTGAGCTCCCCAAATCTGCCCCAGGCAGGTGATGGGGCCAGTTCTTGGCTCCAGCAGCAAGCCCAGCTGCTCCACAGGTGTCTCAGCTTGGAATTCCAAAGGGATGAGGTTCAGGCTCCAAGTGTGTATGAAGTGGTGCAGCTCCTGTGGGAGTGGGATGGAGCCCAGCCTGTGTGCTGGGAGCAGCAGTGCCTGGGGGCCAAGGAGTGAAGGCTCTGCTCACTCAGGGTCAGTCCCTGACACCATCTCTGTCCCACTGCTCCTGTTTGCTGGCTCCTCATCCAGACCTGGCTGTATTTCCATTAATTGGCAATTAAACGTGGTGCTCCTGCTTGCTCTGAGCAAGGAAATTAAATTGTCCGTGGCTCTGCAAGTCACAGAGTTCATCCACAAGGGATCCATGTGGGAAATAGTTGCAGCAAATCCCAATTTTCTGTGCCATTTGAGCGTGTAAGTCCCTATCCAAGTGGTGAGACCAGGAGGTGCTGCTGAGGCATGGAGAGCAATTAATTAACTGCTAATTAACAGCAGGAATCGGTGGGAAAGGGATGCTCCAGAAAGAACTCCTTGTTTTGATAAAATGTAGGACAAAGATGTTGCCTGCAGCAGGGCTGACACCTGAAAACTGTGGGGTTTGTGGGTTTCTCCCAGTTTTCCCAGCTGTGGCCGTGTCAGTGGGGATGCACCACCTGCATCCCATGCTTCCCAATGCATCCCAATGCATCCCAATCCATCCCAATCCATCCCAATCCATCCCAATCCATCCCCTCCATCCCATCACGCTCACCAGACACCCCAGGGAGGCACCTCAGCCCCAGAGCAGGACCCTGGGATAATTTACTTGTTAAATTCAGCCCTGGCCCTGAGAGCATCCCGAGGGCCAGAGGTCAGCAGCCTAATTCCCTGGATTTGCTAGCTCAGCTCCAAGCTCAACCTTTCCTTGTTTTCACAAAACGTGCTCCAGGAAGTTTGTTTTTCCCAGGAATAAAAGTAAAAGCTTAGGTCTGGCTGGCAGAAGCTTAAATGAAATTTAAAGCGACTTCCACACCGACCTAAAAAAACAGCCCCAAAAAAAGTGGGGGTTTTCAGTCTCTGATGTGCTGACTTAGCCTGGATTTTTAAAGCCCTGCTTTAAGCTATTTCTTTAGCCTAAAATTTGGCACGGACTTATGGAATGTATTTCCAAATGAAGTGTGAGCATTATATAAAAAATTGTTAATAGAAAGAAATAGCAGTAAAAGCATTCAATGAAAATTGGGTGGGTCCTGTAGGTCCCTCTCTGAAGAGCTGACAAATTAAGTGCTTATTACAGCTTCCCTTGCCCAAGACCAAATTCCAGGGAGGAATCACAAGCTCAGCCAAGATTTTCAGACCTGAGCCTGACCCTGCATGCATCCACCCTGAGACTGCAGCAGGATCTGGGAAAGTGATGGGAACTCAACCCCTCTACGACTCCCAGTGGCTTCCCTGAGTTCAGGGAGCGTTGGGAACGCTCTCAGGCCTGGGGTGGGATTGTGGGGGTGTCCTGTGCAGGGCAGGACTTGGACTGGGTGGTCCCTGTGGGTCCCTTCCAAGCTGGATATTTGATCATCCATGAGGTCACTTGGCTTTGGACCCCGGGGTGCTGCTGGGATCTCCTGTAAGCTCAGCAGAGCCTGCAGCCGAGGGTGGTGGCTCTTCTCCCCATGCCCGAGCCCATCCCTGCTGTTTTGCACATCCTGGGTGGCAGAGGAGGCTTCAGAGAGCAGTGACCCCTGGCAGGGTGGGCTCAGTGCTGCCTGGGCATGGGGCAGGGGCAGGAATTTCCTGAGGGGCCCGGGGTGCTGACCCGCTGGAGAGGGAGCAGGAAAGAGCTGAGCCATGGAAAGCAGTGTGAGCCTTCCCAGCTCTTTCCAAGGAAGGCAGCTTGGTTGTGATCCATAAATAACTTTCTAGGAAGCTGTGGCTGCTGAATGCCCTGAGGGGCTGGGCAGGCTCTGCCCGGGCAGAGCATCCCCAGCAATGCCCAGGACATCCCCACCCCTCCCTGGGCATCCCCCAGCAGTGCCCAGGACATCCCCACCCGGGCAGAGCATCCCCAGCAGTGCCCAGGACATCCCCACCTCTCCCTGGGCATCCCCAGCAGTGCCCAGGACATCCCCACCCCTCCCTGGCATCCCCAGCAGTGCCAGGACATCCCCACCCCTCCCTGGGCATCCCCCAGCAGTGCCCAGGACATTCCCACCCCTCCATGGGCACCCAGGCTGATTGCCACTGCCATGGGGCACCCCTGGGGTGTTTTGGGGGCCCTGCTGAGCCATCCCTGCCCTGCAGCAAAGGGCAGTAGCCGTGTTCCTGTGCTCCAGTGTCCCAGTGCAGCAGGGCTGGGGGCTCAGGGGGTGCCTTGTGGAGCCACAGGGATGTTCCCAGGGAATATTGTCCTGACAGCCCCATGGAGCACAGCACCAACAAGCACTTCCCTTTTTCCAGTGGCTCCTGCACTCCTGGCCTGGGCCGGGCAGAGACTTCTCATCTGCTCTGCTCACCCAGCAGGGAAATCCACTGCTGGTGCCCCACAGCTGGAGCCAGCCCCCAGGCTGAGGTGGGGTGTGAAGCTGGGATCCCTCCAGCCTGCTCTCTCAGCACTGTTGATCCAGCAGGGCAGTGATAAATCACTTTTTGGGGGCACAGGGATGCTCTGGCCGGGCACAAAGAGCTGCAGCTCGGGACGCAGGGAGGAAATACCTCAGCTGAAAGAGAAAATAAGTTTTAGAGCAGTGTAGGGACCTCCTCACTGCTGGGCTGCGGGAGGGGGCTGTGACTGAAATCCCAAACCAGGGAAAAGTCTCTGCTCTGCATCTGCTGGCTCCTCCATCCCGTGGGAATGGGGGCAGCAGCCCTTCCTCAGCACAGCCTTTGTTCCCAGAGGGGACAGGGAGAGGGCCAGTGGTCAGCCAGAGCTGCCCTGGCTCCGTCACAGCCTTGTCCCTGCAGAGAAATGTCCTGAGAAAGAGAAAATCCCATTGCCCTGCCCCATTTCTGTCCCTGCTCTGCATGGTCCCAGGGAGAAGCAAGGGGGGGTTGGCCCCAGAGTGCATCAGCTCTGCCCTTTTCCAGAGAAAAGCTGTCATCTCTTTTAGTTCCTTGTACAGGAGGTAAAATTGGAATCACAGAATCTTAGATTTCAAGTTTGGGCTCAGTTTTGAGTCGATGTCATTTAGGTGAGTCTGACACCACTGGGTGAGAAGCTGCAGGCTCAGCGAGTTGAGCCTGGCTCTGAGACAGAGAAGGAGGAAATCAGAAACTCAGACAAAGCAGTTCTGTGTTCATATAAACCACGTGTACTTGGGGATGGGTCTGTGCTGCTGGACCGAGCCCAGGTGGGGCCTGGGCTGCCACTGGAGCAGCCGTTCCCAAAACAAAGCCCGTCCTCAGAGCAGCACCAGGCTTGTTTTGAGGGCTGCAGGACACCTGCAGGAAGTGAACCAGATGATGTAGGTTCTCAAAATAACCTGAACAATTCAAAGAAAAAGGAATTCTGGCTTTTCCGACACTCTGCTGGCACTGGGGGGCTGGCAGGAGGTGACACTGTGGGGGGGTTTGTCCCCTGCACCTCAGCTCTGTGCCCTGGGCAGGTGCTTTGGAGGTGCTGGCAGAGCACAGGTGTGCTTTCTGCTGGGATGGCAGTGCCCAGGTGCTTTGGCAGCAGCACAGGTGTGCTTTCTGTGGGGATGGCAGTGCCCAGGTGCTTTGGCAGCAGCACAGGTGTGCTTTCTGTGGGGATGGGCAGTGCCCAGGTGCTTTGGCAGCAGCACAGGTGTGCTTTCTGTGGGGATGGGCAGTGCCCGGGTGCTTTGGCAGCAGCACAGGTGTGCTTTCTGCTGGGATGGGCAGTGCCCGGGTGCTTTGGCAGCAGCACAGGTGTGCTTTGTGCTGGGATGGGCAGTGCCCAGGTGCTTTGGCAGCAGCACAGGTGTGCTTTCTGTGGGGATGGCAGTGCCCAGGTGCTTTGGCAGCAGCACAGGTGTGCTTTCTGTGGGGATGGGCAGTGCCCGGGTGTTTTGGCAGCAGCACAGGTGTGCTTTCTGTGGGGATGGCAGTGCCCAGGTGCTTTGGCAGCAGCACAGGTGTGCTTTCTGCTGGGATGGCAGTGCCCAGGTGATTTGGCAGTGCTGGCAGCAGCACAGGTGTGCTTTCTGCTGGGATGGCAGTGCCCAGGTGCTTTGGCAGTGCTGGCAGAGCACAGGTGTGCTTTCTGTGGGGATGGCAGTGCCCAGGTGCAGGAGGGCTTTGCCCTGTCCGTGTCTCCCCAGCTGCTGCAGCTTCCACAGAACCCCGGGTGGGTTCGGGCTGGAGGGGACATTAACGATGGTCTCATTTCCACACCAGACGCCTGGTGGCCGTGCTGACAGCGGCTCTGACACCCTCCCGGTGGCCGTGCTGACAGTGGCACTCACACCCTCCCGTGCTCCTGCCTCCCCTCCAGGTGTGCCCTGCGAGCGCGACCGCCTGAGCTTCGCCTTCTGCCGGACGCTGCGGCTGCTGGGGCGGTGCCCGCTGCCCACCGTGCGTGCCCAGTGCTGCCGGAGCTGCCAGCACGGCCACCCCGCGCCCGGCCGGCAGCGCGGCCAGCAGCGCCTGTCCCGCAGGTGACAGCAGCACCGTCCCCATGCGCCGCGGGCCCGGGGCTGCCCGGCTCGGACTCGTGCTGCTCTCAAACGGTGCTCGAACATCCCTGGGGCTGCTGCAGGTGCTGCCCGGGCTGCGGGTCCTGCCCGGGCTCACCCTGCCCCGGCGCGCCAGCGGGGAGGCGGGGAAGGGGAACTGGAAGCAGCAATGATTTGGGGAAGACCTCTCAGAAATGCTCATGGTGCTATCACTTGACATTTGCAGCCTCTTGAAGGTGTTGGCTGGCCAGCACGAACCTTGATTTTTATTGTTATTTTTATATCTCTGAGGTGAGCATCCAGCATTCCACCGGCTCTGCCGACCCTTTGGGGTAGGGATGTTTTATTTTTTTTCCTTTAAGGGACTTGAAGCTGGCAACCCGCTCCTGTAATTTTCATTAAAAATGTTTACGCACTGAAGCTAAACAGATTTAATTTAAGAAGTGGAGGCAGGGCAGAGGAATGAAGATTCAGCTGGGGCTGTGCAGGGCTCTGTCTCCCCATTGCTGGCTTCCTCTGCCAAAGCCATTGCTGGGTCCCTCTGGAGCAGAGGGCAGCACCAGGGACACCGAGGTTTGGAGGCCACCAGGGCATTCCCTTGCACACATTTGGGCAGGAGAGGGAAGCTGCCCTGGCAGTGAGAGGCACATCCCCTCCCTCGTGGGCAGCCAAGTGCTCAGTCCCTGGATTTCTCTATGTGTAGCAGTGTAATGCTTGGTTAAGGTGTTTTTCTGTGGCCTTACAGGCTGAACCCTTTTTTTCATGCTTATCTAGATTCTCCTCTGTTAAGGTTAGCTGATTTTTAACTAGAATATCCAATTTACTCTGAGGCACAGCCCCTCCTGCCTGCTCCCAGGGATTTGTCTCAGGAGGGATTCCTGCCAGGTTGGTCTCTGGAGGAGGGCAGGAGCGTTTAGGTAGGAATTCCTTTCCCTATTACTCCTCAGGCTGTGGAGGGTGCCCAGAAGCTGGGGGACCTTGAAGGGCAATGCTCCCTGCATGGGCAGAGCCAGGCTGGAGCCCATCCCCTTTGGGCTGCAGGGCTCCAGGTGCAGCTCCCTGGGCTGGTGGGGGCAGCAGCACTCAGCCCGCATTCCTGTGTGTGATTTGTATGTAAAACACAAGCCATGACCTCACCATTTGTGCTTTATTCCCTTCCAAGGTGGTGTAAAGCTTTTATGGTCCAAGAACCTGTGTCCAGTCCTGGTTTCCTTGTCCCCATCTGTCCCACACTCTGTCACCCCCCCTAGGATTGCAAAGGGACAACCCTTGTGTGGGGATCTCATGGCCACAGCTCACAAACTGTTAAATTAAACAGTTGCTGAAGGAAGCAGGTGGGTTTCACATTTTCTCCTCCCCGTGGGGAATTCTGAAGGTTTTCAGCTAATTGGAGATGGTTCAGGCACTGGCAGCAGGAAGGAAAGATCAGTTTGCATCTGAAAATCATTCACAGCTGCCCTTTGCAACTGGGATTTGTTGATTAAAACATGAGCCGGGCGGATGGGGTAAATCAGTTCTGCAAATCAATTTATTTGTTATCACCAGGACCTGGTGAGCCCCTCCTGCAGTGCCTCTCCACGTGCAGGGTCCCAGCTGTGGCTGAGGGCACGGGATAATCCCTCCTGTGGGACACCAGGCCATTTTTAGCCACATAACAAGCACAGAAACTGCATTGTCAGTGACAATAAAACACATCTGGCTTAAATATCTGCAATATTTTCTTTCAGTGAGACACCTCCAGTGAGTGTCTCTGCAAGGAGGCTCTTCACAAGGGCCTGGCGTGACAGGAGAAGGGGGAATGGCTTCCCACTGACAGAGGGCAGGCTCGGATGGGATGTAGAAATGCCTTTTTTCTTCTTCTAAAGGCGCTTTTATTGTCTCAACACAAGCAGGATGTTATTCAGACAGAGCTGGGGCGAAAGGAGGAAAGGGCTCGTGGATCAAAAGATGTTTGAAATGGGATTGTGGAGTGGTTTGGGTGGGAAGGGACCTGAAAGCCCACCCAGTTCCTCCCCCTGCCACAGGGTGAGAGTGGATGGGCTTTCAGGTCCCTTCCCATCCAAAGCCCTCCGTGATTCCATGATCTCCTGGAAGACTCTCTGAGAGCCTTTTGGCTTCAGACCAGAAGTCAGACCTTTGTGCCTGCCTTGGTCACCTCCAGACGTTTCCACGCTGGAGGCAGGAAGGAAGAGGAGCTCGTTGGTTGGGAAGCAGCAGCAGCAGCAGCTGTGGAGGAGCCTGTTTGTGTCTCAGGCCCTCGGGAATGCTCCAAGCGCTTCCGCAGCCCCCGGAGCTGCCATCTCCTGGCAGAGCACCTGTGGTCACAGCTCTCAGACCTCACCAGGCGCCTCTGCCCAGCCCAGGTGACCTCAGCTGGAGGCTTTTAGCTCCCAAGGAGCCAGAGGGGTCACCAGCCCTTCACCACGGGCTGGGAGGGGCACGGTCCCAAACCGAGCAGGCAGGAGGCAGCAGAGCCAGAGGGACCAGGAGCAGCTCAGCTCCCACCTGTCCTTCCCAGATAATAATAAGAAATGGGTTTATTTCCTCTTGCTCTTAAAACCTCCTTGTGCTGCACAGAAAGGCTTCACAGGCACAGCACAGAGGGGCAGCAAAGCCACGACAGCAAGGGAAGGATTTGAAAAATGTCACTGGTGTATCTTTTTGTTTGGATTGTAATTGGCAGCTGATCCCTGGCAGTGCTCCGAGAGGGAACAGCTCTCACCCACCCACCTCGGGGCGCTGCAGCCCGGCCGCAGCTCCAGCAGCTCATCCCGGGCTGCCCCTCGCACAGGGACATTCCCGGCGGGAAGTAAAGCCCAGAAAAGGGCAGGAGTGGAGGGAGGGAAGGAAAGGAGCTGCCCCTGCCCAGCTGGTACCAGGCCACGCTGTGTTTGCTCACCCGGAGCAATCGTTTGGTTGGGAAATTCAGTAAAGCTGTTCCACATGGGGGAGGGCAGGGCTGCCACCAACCCACAGCTGCCGGCCCTGCCCCGCTCCGAGGGGAGGCTCAGCCGGGGGTAAACATTTAGAAATACCCGCGCGATAAAAACAGCTCTGTCTCCACACGCCACTGCTCTGCTGCCCTCTGCGGTGAGTAAGTTACACCCCGAGTAAAGTGTGTGCAAACCCAAGCCCTCTGCACGGCCGTGGGGCAGGTGAGCAGCCCCCGGCCCTCTTCCTCCTCCAGGAGGAAGCTCCCGGGAGCTCCGGGATGGAAATTTCAGCCCTGGAAAGGCAGCTGGAATCCAGAGGCTGCTGGAAGTCGCTCGGGGCTCTGGCAAAGGGGCAGCAGGGTGGCGCTGGCTCTGCTTGGGGGAGCAGAGGTGCGGAATGTCCCTGCTGGGCTTTGGGCCAGGAGCTGAGCCCGGGCTCGGGGCGCTCCCTCCTGCTCGGACAGGGCGAGCCGCTGGGAAGGAAGCAGAGCTCCCCCAGCCCCGAGTTTTGGGGTTTGCTGAGCTCTCTGCTCCTCCCGTCCCTCCCGGGCTGCTCTGAGCCGCTGCCGAGCGGTGACCCCGGCAGCGCAGCCTCCGGCCGGGGCACATGCAGGGAGCCCGGCCCCTTCAGCTCAGGGACTGCCCACAGCTCGGTGATCACCCTGGGACTGCCCACAGCTCGGTGATCCGCCCTGGCATTGCCCACAGCTCGGTGATCCATCCTGGGACTGCCCACAGCTCGGTGATCCCCCCTGGGACTGCCCACAGCTCGGTGATCACCCTGGCATTGCCCACAGCTCGGTGATCCCCCCTGGGACTGCCCACAGCTCGGTGATCACCCTGGCATTGCCCACAGCTCGGTGATCACCCTGGGATTGCCCACAGCTCGGTGATCCCCCCGGCATTGCCCACAGCTCGGTGATCACCCTGGGATTGCCCACAGCTCGGTGATCACCCTGGTATTGCCCACAGCTCGGTGATCCGCCCTGGCATTGCCCACAGCTCGGTGATCACCCTGGGATTGCCCACAGCTCGGTGATCACCCTGGCATTGCCCACAGCTCGGTGATCACCCTGGGACTGCCCACAGCTCGGTGATCCAGCCGGGAAACAGCACCGAGAGCGCAGAGCCCGCTCAGCTCAGCTCAGCCCCGGCCGCTCCTCCGCTTCCAGCTTGTCCGCAGCTCCTCCAGCAACCCCAGGGGGTCCCCGGGATGGTCCCGGAGCCGGGAGAGTCCCCGGGATGGGTCCCCGGGATGCGTCCCCGGGCCGGGTCCCCGGGCTGGCCCCTCCCGGCACAGCGGTGCCGTGGGTCGCTGGTGCCCTCTGCAGTTGTCCCTCTCCGCTGTAAATGCAAAGGATTCCTAATCCCAAGGAACGATTTTAGGACTTTTTGCTCCAGGTGAGGACGGTGGCCCGTGTGTGTCCTGCCGGGTTTGGAGGAGCGTCCCGAGTTCCTCCAGCACCCCAAATCCTGCCCGATGGGATCCCCCTGGAGCTGTCCCCGTCCCCTCCTCAGTGTCCCCAGAGGCCGATGGCAGCAGAGCCTCTGCCCAGCCCGGTCCGTGGGGCAGCAGCGGCGGGGAGGGACAGGGACCCGAGCCCAGTTCAACTGGAAACGCTGGGAAGTGCCGCAGCTCTCAGGAGTCACCTCCCAGTGCCCCAGCAATGCTCCACTGCCCGCGGAACTGGGAACATCCCTGCTTCCCGAGGCCCGGGTTTGGGATCTGGCCCATTTTCCTGAATTGTTGCTCCAGAGAAGACCTTTCACCCTCTGTGCCCCAGCACAAAGCCCTCAGCACTGAGGACCCCAGGGCACTGCAGGGACCAGGAGAGTCACCTTAGGGTCACCAGAGCATCCCATGTCCCCTGAGCTTTTGTCAGAACTGGGGGTGCAGTTTGGGTGGTGGCACCGAGCTGTGCAGGGGCACACAGAGCCCTCAGGAGCCCACCCAGGAGAGGAGCTGCTATCTCCTGGCCCCAGGACCCACAGAACCTCCGTGCTGGCAGAGATATCTGCACTCTGAAAGGAAAATACCAACCCCTCTGCTGGAGGGCAAAAAAAAAAAGCAAATTCCAGGAAAGAAGCCAGCAGATAATGGCAGCTCAGGCTCCTGGAGCATTTGGTCCATGCCTGCAGGAATGACCTGCCTGGGCCCCTGCCCAGCTGTGGGGTGGGACACAGGACATGTCTCCTGTGCTGGCACATGAGGCACATCTGTCCACGGGCTACAAAGGAGTTTGAAATTTAACTGAAATTTAACTGAAGCGGAGTAACTGGAGTTGAGAAGTGGTTTTCCACACCTGCAGGAACCTGTGGAAAAAAGGGGATTGTTCTCCTCCCCCTTTAATTAATTTCTTCAGCTGCTTTGGCACTTGAGGGGAGGGGTGCCATGGAGCAGGTCAGTGGTTTGCCAAGGGGAACATTCCCTGTTTATAATGCTGAGTCCATTCCATGCTTCCGTGCCCTCAGGGAAGCTCTATAGGGTTTATTAAAACGGCCGCAATTCCCTGAAATCCCCACAGATGTTTGCTCTGTGCCCCAAGGATCTCTCCCCATGGAACAGCCACAAACCAGGGAGCAGCAGTTCCCAAAGCCCTCAGGAGCCACGGCAGCAGATCCTGGACACCTGCCCTGGAGGAGGAGCAGGAGGGAACTGCCCGATCCTCAGGGAAAGGTAAATCCATAAATCCCTGCTCAGCTCCAGAGCTGCTGGAAGGAGGCATGGCCCCAATGGGAAAGGTGGCAGCTGGAAATGTCGTGGGTGCTCCAGGTGAGGGCAGCGAGGGAGCGGTGACAGGAGCAGGACAGTGGCAGCCAGCAGGAGGGGCTGGGGGATGCTGTCGCCTCCCACACTGCAGGCAAGTCAGGAGGAAAAGCAGGGTCAAGTTCTCATCCACAGGGAAACTTCACCCTCAGGGTGGTTGTGAAGCAAAGCTTCCAGAATCAGAAGTGTGTGACACTAACAGGGAAAAGAGCACGAGGATTTGGCAGGAATTGTGTCCCAGTAAAAATCTCCTTGTTCTAGTGAAGTTCTTCAGCTCCAAATTCTTCTTCTGGATTAATTTCAGCTTTGGTGCTTATCAACACCAAAGAAGCTGAATGAAACTAATTTCTGTAACAGAAATCTAAACTTGATCTTCAAGAAAAAAACCAAAACAAATTCAGGACCCAGGAAGCAACATTTCAGTACAAGAATCTGTTTTATTTTTACAGTGCAGTGATTGAAACAATGTAGAAATTCAACTTGCAAAACTGAATTTGTATCACAACGTCCCTCAGAAGGCAATGCAGATGTGTTGCTTTGAATCACAAAATATTCCTCTGGACACGAAAAATTACAAACTTCCAGCTTCCTTTAGAGACTGATTCCTCATAATTTAAATCTATCTTATAAACAATTTGTCTTTAAAAAAAGAAAACCACATGGAAGATAAAAACAACTCAAGTATAAACCCCAAGGCGTTGATTATTTGACTTGCTCAGCTTGCAGTGGGGCCGTGCCCCTAGTCGGGCTCAGTGACGCACTGCTCCACGATCTCGCGCAGGTTCGGGTTCTCCATGGCTGCTGCCACCCTCTCCTTGTCGTTGATCTGCTTGTTGACTGCAAAACACCAGCACAGGGCTCAGGGGCTCAGCAGGAAAGGGCACATCGAGGGGCATTGCTGGGAAACAGGGAATGAGGCAGATGCAGGCGCAGTCACCACAAAGCAACCATGGGAAATCACAATTCCTGTCACTTTTCCAGCTCAGGAAAAGGGTGTGAGGTGTTCCAGTGGCATGTCCCAAAACCAAGGGTGAAATTCAGGGTAAATGAGTGGCCCAGGTTCAGTGTATAGCTCTTTAACCACAATATCCCATTTCTGGCAGGCACTGAATGCTCTGGGCACTGCTGGGACAGGGTCTGGCTCTGGCTGGGCAGAACACCCAGGTCCTGCCAGCTTTCCTGCAAAACCTGCCTGAGAAACATCCAGATTTGGTGTGGGGAGTTCAGGACAGTGGGGCCAGCAGCTGAGGCAGCTCCTCCTGTCAATTACTCAATTTTTGTTACAAACCCCTGCCAGAACTGGGGGGCTTTGTTATAAAACCAAAGCAGCAGCCAGCAGGTGGTCACAGAGCCACCACAGCCCTGGGGACACCTTGATGCCACTGGGTTTGCAGGCTCTGACAGGGGATTAGCTTCTGGGGAGGCAGGGGAGCAGAGGACAGGGCACAAGAGGCTGAAGCAGCAGCATGCACAGGCTGTACTCACTGTCCTCCTCCGTGGAATGTGTGCCCTCAGAAATGTAGATTTCCAGCTGGAGGAGAGATCAGCAGTGTTAGGGGCACCACAGCAGTGGAATCCCATCCCCACACCCAGGGCTGTCACCCTGCTGCCCCAGGAGGGACTGCTGCCAGGAGCTCCCTCTGCAGTGCTCAGCTGGGAGCGTGGAGCAGCTACAAAAACAGAACCACCACCCAAAAATCAACTGCAGAGATCCTCAGGTAACTAATGTGTTCTTTACATTATTGGGGTCAAGTCTCTAAATTTACGGAGGCTGACATTCATTCATGGAGTGTAAAACAGGCTTCAAACCAGGCACTTTACCTTGTGTCTAAAAGGCAAACATCTCTGAAGTTTTATTCTTAAACAAAGACCTGTTAAAAGAGAACACAAAAGAGATTTTCCTGTAAAATTGAAGGTCTGGGGAGCATTTTCAGGGAATCCATGTTTAATAACCAGTGTAAGTGACAGTGTCCTTCTGTGCTCTGAGCAGCAAAAGCCACAGAGGGAAAGGGGACAAGCAGAAAGTTGTACTTTTTTTTCTTTTTAAAAGTTTAAGAGTTGACAAACTCAGTTAATAACATTACTGAAGTAACTTGGAGAATACAAAGAAGGAATTCTGTACCACTTCCCAGCAGAGTTTTGAGAGGAATCTCTCTTTGAAGAGATTCCCTAACATGACACAAACAGATGGCTGTCCCCATTTCTCTGGATTTGGGGTTTTTTTTGGTTTGGTTTGGTTTTTGGTTTGGTTGCACTGGTGGCTGGGTTCTCAAGTTGCAATTCCTGATCAAACCAACGCAGGCAGGCAAGACTGAATCTGCACTGGGACTGGTGGCATCCAGGCAGCCTCAAGGGACCCCGAGCTCTTTGTTTGTGATCTAATTAAAGGAATCTCACCGATGAGAGTGGCCAAGGAGCAATGAGGTACTGTTGGTGTAAACCTGATGATGACCAGATATTCATCCTCCCCTATCTCCTGCACTTCCACGCAGTTTTCCGTCACCACTTCCAGTTCTTCCAAAGTGTTTGGCTTCTCCGGGTCCCGGATAGTCCGGATTATATCTGAGACAAGGGGCACAATAAGGAATCTTCCCTGGGACTCACAAAAGGGATTTCCACGAGCACCCCTTCCCGGCACTGCTGATAGAAGTGTTCAGTTCCAAAGGTTCACTCTTTGGAAGCCACAAGCGATCCCAACAAGCCAAGCAGGCCCTTTCTCCCTGCCCAGCCCCTCGGGGCCCCCTCAGCGCTCCGAGCCCCTCAGGACCCCGCGCGTTCCCCCTCAGCCCCGCAAGGGCAAACCGGCACCGCGCCCGGGGCTCCCCCCGCGGCCCCCGCGCCCCCCGGCAGTCACCGTAGACCTCGATGGCCCTGTCGTGCTCCATGGCGCGGCTCGGGGGCGCATGGCGGGCGCTACTGGCGGGGCTCCGCCACACCCGGCCCAGCGCCTGCCACAGCAGCGCCAGCGCCAGCGCCATGGCCGCGCTCCGCCATCGGCCCGCGGGCCGCCGCGCTTCCGCCTGGGCGGGGCGGCACTGGCCAATGGCAGCCGGGGGCGGGACCGGGGCCGGCCAATGGGCGGGGAGGTACCGGGAACCACGCCCATGTGGGGCGTGACCTCGCCTTCGGGGACGGGACACGAAGAGACCCCGGGACACGGAGAGGGGACACAGAGAGACCCCCCGGGACAGCCCCGGGACACAGGGAGATCGCCGGGATAGCTCCGGGACACGAAAGGACCCCGGGACAGCGAGTGGGGACACGGAGAGACCCCCGGGACAGCCCCGGGGCACAGAGTGTGGACACAAAGGGACCTCCCGGGACACAGAGAGAGCCCAGGACAGCTCCAGGACATAGAGGGGCCCTCGAGACAGCCGCTGCCGCAGAGTGGGGACGCAGAAATGCCATGGGGATGCATCTACAACAGAGATCAGAGGAAATATACAGAGAATTCTACTTAAAGATAAAGAAAAGTCTGCTGAAGTTGCGGGCCGGGGGGGAACTACAGCTCCCAGCGCGCATTGCTGTGCCGCGGTGTGTGCCGGGGGTTGTAGTCGGGCCCGGCGGTGCCCAGCTGACCGGAACGAGGGGCGGCCCCGCCGGGATGGCGGCGGCTCGGGCCGGGCGCGTCGGGCGGCGCTGAGGCCGGGCCGGAGGATGGCGGCGGCCGGGGCCCGGGCGGAGCTGCGTGTGCTGCTGGTGCCCCGCTCGGAGCAGGCGCGGGGCGCGGCGCGGGTGCGGCTGAGCAGGGCCCGGCACGCCCTGGGCACCGTGCTGCTGGCCGGCGGCATCCGCCTGGAGTCGCTGGGGGCCGGGCGGGCCCGGGGCAGCGTCCTGCCGGGAGCCTGGGCTGAGTGAGTGCGGGCCGGGGCTGCGGGCAGCGTCCTGCGGGGAGCCTGGGCTCAGTGAGTGCGGGCCGGGGCAGCGTCCTGCCGGGAGCCTGGGCTGAGTGAGTGCGGGCCGGGGCTGCGGGGAGCCTGGGCTCAGTGAGTGCGGGCCGGGGCTGCGGGACTGCAGGGAGCCTGGGCTCAGTGAGTGCGGGCCCGGGCTGCGGGCAGCGTCCTGCGGGGAGCCTGGGCTCAGTGAGTGCGGGCCGGGGCTGCGGGACTGCGGGGAGCCTGGGCTCAGTGAGTGCGGGCCGGGACTGCGGGGAGCCTGGGCTGAGTGAGTGCGGGCCGGGGCTGCGGGCAGCGTCCTGCGGGGAGCCTGGGCTCAGTGAGTGCGGGCCGGGGCTGCGGGACTGCGGGGAGCCTGGGCTCAGTGAGTGCGGGCCGGGGCTGCGGGACTGCGGGTCCGCAACGGGAGCGCTCCCGTTGGGAGCCGGGTGGTGTCTGTCCGTCCTGCCGGGTCGTGTCTGTCTGTCTGGCCGGGTAGTGTCTGTCCGTCCGGCCGGATGTGATCCCAGAGCAAACAAGAAGGGTTTGTCTGTCTGTCTGTCTGTCGGGCTGTTGCTTCACGCCGCAGTGCCCCGAGTGCTGCGCCTCCCCCGCAGCCGGGGCCAGCCCGGGTGACACTCGGCGGTCACATGGTGGCTTTAACGCGTGGTGGCTCCAGCATCTGCTTTGGCAGCTTCCGTGCCGAGCCAAACCCACACCTTAGTTCTGAGCATCTGCAGTGTCCGGCAGCAGCAGCAGCCGGACGTTCTGTGTCACACAGAATCCCCAGCTGCTCCGGCTGTGAGGGACATTAAATCCCACCCAGTGCCACCCCTGCCATGGCAGGGACGCTGCCGCTGTCCCAGGCTGCTCCCAGCCCCAGTGTCCAGCCTGGCCTGGGACATTCCGGGGCTGGGCAGTGTTTCAGGGCTGTCACAGGGCTCTGCTCTCTGCTTTGCCCTGCCCCGTGCTGAGCTGGTCGCTCTCTGTCCCCTCCCCATCACCACGGAGCAGGTGTGACACACCTGGAGGGGTTCTCAGCCCAAAAGCCAGGGAAAAGTCTGGAATGGACAGTGTGTTCTGCTCTCCCTTGTGCTGGTGTTCTCCTGAAGCAGAGCATCCCTGGTGTCCTGGGTGGCTGGAGTGAAAAATGGAGAGGATGGAACCCCTTTATCCTGGAGAGGAGGAGGAGCAGGAGCTGGGGTTCCTCAGGCTCTGTCCTGCCAGGGATGGAGCAGTTCAGTGCTGGGAGGGCCAGGGTGGCAGCAGGGCTTTCAGTGCTGAGGTGTTGTCCCCTGCCAGTGCACACCCAGAATGGTCAGAGTGGGAAATGGGGAGAGGGAATAAAGCCATAACCTCTCTGAATGTTTCCCCTTCAGCTTCCTGTGGGACAGCTCGGAAGATGATGGTTCACAGTCCACCAAGACAAAGCTCCTGGCTCTTGCTCAAAGCCATGACCTGTTTGTCTATGAGTTCAGTGTAGAAGATGGAAAGCACAACTCCAATTCCCTGCACAGCTGTGAGGCAGAGACGCTGAGAAAGCTCCTTGAAGCTAAAAACATCAGTGAGTAAATTTCAATGTGTGCCATGTGTGAAATACTGCAGCTCTGGTTCTGCTGCTCCTGGTGGGATGGAGCACCAGGGAATTTCAGTTACCTCCCCACTGATCCAATGGGATCAGCAGGATTCATGGGCTTGAAAAATAATGGGGACATTTCTGTGTTCAAAGGTGACGTTGCCAGAAAGAATAAAACTCTTGTAGGGTCATTTTTTAATGATACAAAGTTAAAAATGAATTTTAATAAGATATATGTGACCCTGCTCTCTCAAATTTTAACTTTAATATTGGGACTGATGGGAAGAAAAGGGAGACAAGGCTCATCAATAACCCTGCAAAGACTAATTAAACATTTAACCTTGTATTTTATGATTAGCAAATATAGTGTGCTGTTAGAATGAGGCTTTGGTATTTTACATTTTCTTAAACAGTCTCCCTTCCTAAAATATTTTATTTCCAAAGTTTGTAGCTTTTCTTCCCAGTGCTGACTGAAATCCTATTTTGTGTGGATTTTTTAATGTTCTTCATAGTATTGTCCACTGAAAAAGCCACATAAAAAGTTTTGGGAAATGGTTCTAGAATTAGTGCCCCTGGCACAGAAAGTGAGATTTAAAACCAACCACCCCAACTTCTGTTAGGATGGGAACTGGGGCAATGAGTTTGAGCTGTCATTTTCTTGGGATTCCTTTACAAATCAAAAGTCTAGCTAGTTGTAATCTGAAATTTAAATACGTTTAAATTTACAGGTCTGCCTTCAATTTCCTCTGTGAAGATTCTGTCTTTTGGAAACAACAAGTGCAAACTTCTGCTCAACCAGTTTCTCCTTGTGCACCTGACCTTTCCTGGGGAAGGCTCAGCCCCAGAGCCCTGTGGCTGCTTCCCCCTGGCCCTGCCTCCAGGAGCTGTGGGGAGGATTGCAGACTCCCAGTTCTGCAGGGGGATCCTGTTCCTCTTGGACAGTGCTGGCTGGATTTGTATCCTTTGCAGGAGAGATCAGGGAAAAATCATCTGGAAGAGCAAAGCTGCTTTTCTCTGCTGTCAGGGCTGAGCAGAAATTTCTTTACAGATGTTTAAGTGGTGCCTGCAGAGAGGGTCGTGCAGCCAAATCCTGGTTATTGTAGAGAAGTGCCACAGCTGTGTGTGCAGGCTTTCCCACTACAGACCTGGGTTTATGGGTTTCATTAAGGGGTTTGATTCATGGGTCTGTGTGTAACAGGCTGATTTCTGCTGTCACCTCACGGCTAAATTAAAGCAGAAATGATCTGCAGGCTCCCAGGGAGCCTGGGAGGCAGGTTTGTGTGGGGATGAGCAGGGGCTCAGGCCTGTCAGCTCCAGCAGCTGCTGCCATTAACCTGTCCCTGCTCACCTCCTCTGGCACATCAGAGCACAGTGAAGTCCTCTTGCCTTTCCCTCCTCCTGGGGCCAAACCCCAGCCCCTTCCCCTGCTGTGTAACTGCTCTGGTGATCCCTCCAGGCCTGGGCTTTTCTTTGATGCTGCTTGCAGACATATTTGACTGCAGTGATGGTGCCACCCTTGGGAGGGTGGGTGTTGCCCTGGGGGCTGGGCAGGGGCAGGGCCCAGCCCCTGTGTCCCCCCTGGCTGCCCTGGCCGTGTCTCCTGACCTCAGCACGGCCGTGGTCACCAACAGCTGCCAGTGGGCCCTGGCTGTGCAGCTCAACACCTACTTCAGGTACAGCTCCCAGGAGAGGGCTGCGGGCTCCCTGACCCTCACAGCTCCTGCATTCTGTGCCTGTCCTCACCGGGGTGCTGGCAGCTTTTAGCTCTGACTTCTGTGCTAGAGCAGAAATTCCTTCTTTGTTTAAAGATCGTCCTTGCATTGCTTGCTCCAGTTTATTCTCTATCACAAAGGAAGCTGTGTCTATAACATCTCTTTATTTTAATCTGTCTGTTAACAAGCAGATAAACTTTGTCTTGCCCTTCATATTTTTTCCAGGAAGATGAGGTGCTCTCAGTGCCAGGGGTGGGTGGTAGAAGCTTTTAGAAGTACTGTGGGGTATGGAATTATCAAACTGTGCTGGTACAGCTGTACTGATTCAGCTTGGTGAATTAGGGCCAGCTGGTAACTAAGAGGTGGTGTCCACCTCAAAGGAAGGAGCATCAGGTTTTGATGGCTCACCTGTTACCCTGAGAGAACACTGCCCCCAGAGCTCCTGGAGGAGTTAAACATGAAAAAAACATCTTAAATCATCTGAGCAAGGTGAAATTTCATATTTATTTCTTTACAGACAGTTCCCTGAACATTTGCTCTGTAAGAGAGATCCTGAAAATCTCCCGGTGAAGCCTGCAGAGGGACTGGATGAGGATGAGCTGGCCAGCTCTGAGCACAGCATGGAGCTCCTGCCGCTGCCCTTCCGCACAGACAGGTACAGGAGGGAAGAGCTCCTGACACAGGCTGGCCTGTGTCTCCTCTGCATCACTGATAATAAACTGCTGATCTGTTTTCTCAGGTGTAGTTGGGACAGGTAAAATCAGCCATTCTGCTGTAAATGTTTTGAACTTGGGGTGGACCAGGACAGCTTTAGGTGTGGCATTGGACAGCTTCCAAACAGGAATTGCTGCTTTGGGGTCACCTGTGAGTCTTAGAGTATTGATAATAATAAAGCATGTCAGTTATGACTTGGTGTATAGATGAGAAAGGGTCAGTCCTGGAGTTAATTCTGTTCTACGTTTTTTTAATTGATAACTATTTGTTATCAGTTAAAAATAGTACAACATTTATATATAACTATCTATAACTATAATTTATTTATAACTATCTATAAATATAATTTATATATAACTATCTATAACTGTCTGTTCTACTATCTTTTAATTGGCATTTTCTGTGAGGAAAAGAAAACTTTTCACTGAAAATGCTGGACATGGATGTTGTCAGCTGATCCGGCTGTGGTCACTCAGTTTGGCTGCAGGGGGTATTTAAATGTAAATAAAGAGGCTGTTGTAAGCTTAAAATGCAGGATGTTGGATGGGTTTGATGAGCTCTAAGTGCATTTTATTGAACTGAGAAAGCTTTACCTGCCTTGTTCCTGGGGTAATTCCTGGTGTTGAGGTGACTCTGTGCCCTGGGCAGGTCCTGGAGGGCACACCTATCCTCACTGTGGGACAGAGTCAGGAGAAGAAGAGCACCGGGCTCTCCAGAGTTGGTGAACGACTTGAATTTGCCCTGGTATCAGTTTTTTACCCATCTGGAAGATCACGATCCTGAAGTTTGCGAGGATCCAGAGAGGATGGTGGCCTTTGTGCCCCGGGCTGTCACATGGGCAGCTTCCCCAGCGCTCCAAGGCCAGCCTGGGGGTGCAGGACAGCAGTGGGCACAAATCCCCGTGGGAGCAGCCCAGGAAACGGTGAAACTGGAGTGCAAACTGGTGACTGGAGCCAAGGCTGTGTTTGTGCTGCAGGCACAGGACATGGGGCTGTCTCTGGCGCTCTGGGATTTTGAGTCCCAGGACGTGACGTGTTCCCACTTTGGCAGAAGCAGTGTCTATGTGGAGTGCAGTGCAGAGCTGCCACTGTGTCTGCTGCTGACAGGTGAGGGCTCACAAACTGTCCTGAGACAGCTGCTTTAGGGGATTTTAGTGTTTTACCTGGCTGCTGGTGGGTAACTTCCATCGTGGTCCCGCTTGGGGAAACCCAAAGGGAGCCGCTGCAGCCTTGCCTCACTGTTCTGGAAGCAGCAGTGGGTAGAGATGCTGCTGCCCAGAAAGGGGCTGCTGTGCCTTTAATAATGGCTTGGTTGTGTCGTTCAGAGCTTGGTCTGTCCCTGGTCCTGTTTGGGGTCACTCAGGAGGAGTTCCTGACCAGGCTGATGATGTTCGGCAGCGCCGGGGTCGTGGATTCCCTGTGCCACCTCAATGGCTGGGAGAGGTGCTCCATTCCCATCCATGCCCTCGAGGTGAGGAAAGCTGCCTGTTGTTTGCAAGCTGTCCTGCAAAAAACAAACTCTGTATTCAAAGCATTGAATGCAGTTTGGCAATGCCAGTGTGGGTTTAGACACAATTAAAAGTGTGCCTCAAACCTAGGGGCAAAAGAAAGTGGTTTAGTTATTGAATAAACAGCAAAACCCCAAGCAGATGAGTAACTCGAAGGAAGAAGTACAGCAGCAAAGTGAATGCACATTAATAAAAGAGAACAAAGCAGCGCTCAAAATTCCCTCTTAAATGAACCCAAAAGCAATTTTGCCAGTTTCTGCAGCAGTTTTTGTCCCCTTGCAAAATGTTAGCTATGAAAAGAAATCCTTGGAACTAGATTTCTGTGTTTATTGTGCTGTTCTTATAAAATTGCTGTAAGCTTATTCAGAGTCCTGATTCTCATAGTATTCACTTCATATTGCTGCAATAGCATTTTTTGTGTGGAGATCCAGGGCAGGGCTGGAGCAGAGCCTGGCTGAGGAGCCTGGCAGGTCACCTTGTTACTGCAGGTGCTGCTCACAGAGTTTAAATCCCCTCTGGTTTCCTGTGTGTGTCACTGAGGCTGGAGTAAGAATCCCAGCAGCAAGTGTATGGGTGTAAATCCATGCTTAATTGTCCTGCTTCTGTTTGTGCAGGCAGGTTTGGAGAATCGCCAGCTGGACACGGTGGACTTGTTTTTGAAAAGCAAAGGAAGTGTTTTCAGTCTGTCTGCAGCCTGCCCTGGGCCTGAGCAGCCTGGGGGTGCTGCCTCCCAGTCCTACCTGAGAAGTGAGTGAAGAAGCTCAGCTGCTCAGAGGCTCATTTCACCCTCTCTCCCCCTGGCTCAGTGCAGGATGCTGATGATGATGTGTGAGCTGTTTCTGGACCCATTGCAGATCTGGAGGAGCTCAGGCCAGCTCTAAACTTGCTCTGCTCAGCCATCCAAGCCAATGATATGGAGCCTCACAGCAAGCCCTTCTCCGAGCAGCTGCTGAACCTCACCCTGACCTTCCTCACCAAGCAGCTGGAGGAAATCTTTGTGCACACAGAGGGTAAGATCACTCCTGCTGGGTCATACCTACTAATGTGTCATTGTTTAAGTAAGTAAGAACTGCTAATTCTTTTAATTAAAAGCTTGATTTTGCCTGGGATTAACATAAAAATACTAGAATTAAGTGAGTGAAAGATGTTCATCCCTGTGTTTTAGATTGGACTTACCTGACTAATAATTGGTGGGACTAATACAAAATTTCAGTTCTCCTTTACTGATCCCTGGGCAGAAAAGCCCCTCATTGAGGACAGGGAGCTCTGTGGGGCTGTGACTGTGTCCTGTGTCCTGACAGGGTGCTGGGCTGTCACTGCCTGCACAGGGGACAGAGCTGATGTGCTCTTCCCTCTGTTTATTAATCATAATCAGCACATGTATTAATTCAGCATTGCTAAACAATAAAATCCTGCCTGTTCATTCCCATTTCACTGAAGTCTTGGATGCTTTTGGCAGAGCCTGATGAGTTCCTGCAGAAGGCTGCAGATATTTTGACTGATTACATCATTAAGCTGAGGAAGTTCCTGAGGAGGTACCCTCACCCAGCAGTGACCCCAGGGCAGGGAGCTGAGCTGGATGAGGACCTGCCTGAGATAGAAGAGAGCCAAGAATGGGAAAAACTGACTCCAGAGGTGAAAATCAGCAAGTTTATATAAGGAGATCATTTATGTGGAAATGTCTTAAAGTACTGGAGAAGAAAGTCAGCATAGGGATGCTCTAGTGTGTTCCATGTTTTTCTCTTTAGGAAGTGATTGCTGAGGCCATCCTAAGCAACAAAATACCAGAGGCCCAAATCTTCTTCAGAAGGCAGAAACACCCTGCTGAGAGTCTGCAGGAGTTTATGCAGACAGGTTTGAGCCTGGTCTATGACTGCCTGCTGAAGGGCAGCACCAGGGAGGCCTCAGAGCTGCTGAGGAACATGGTGAGAGGTGTTTGGGGTGCTCACTCTGCTTTGGGACTGTGCAGGGCACGGGGAGCCTCAGCTCCTGGGGTGGATTGATTGAAAACAGGGGGGATTGCAGTGGGAATGGCTGGCGTGAGGGAGCCTGGCTGGGAATGTGTGCTGGCTGAGCAGCACAGAAAGGGTGGCTCTGCCTGGGGAAGGGGCACAGGGACAGCAGGGACATCCCTGGGATGGGGCCACAGGGTTGGGGACAGCAGGGACATCCCTGGGATGGCACCACGGGGTCTGGGGACAGCAGGGACATCCCTGGCATGGGGCCACGGGGTTTGGGGACAGCAGGGACATCCCTGGGATGGCACCACAGGGTTGGGGACAGCAGGGACATCCCTGGCATGGGGCCACAGGGACAGCAGGGACATCCCTGGGATGGGGCCACAGGGTCTGGGGACTGCAGGGACATCCCTGGGATGGGGCCACAGGGTTGGGGACAGCAGGGACATCCCTGGGATGGGGCCACAGGGACAGCAGGGACATCCCTGGGATGGGGCCACAGGGTGTGGGGACAGCAGGGACATCCCTGGGATGGGGCCACAGGGTTTGGGGACAGCAGGGACATCCCTGGGATGGGGCCACAGGGACAGCAGGGACATCCCTGGGATGGCACTGCAGGGTTGGGGACAGCAGGGACATCCCTGGGATGGCACCACAGGATCTGGGGCCAGCAGGGACATCCCTGGGATGGGGCCACAGGGTTGGGGACAGCAGGGACATCCCTGGGATGGCACCACAGGGTCACAGGGACAGCAGGGACGTCCCTGGGATGGGGCCACAGGGTTGGGGACAGCAGGGACATCCCTGGGATGGCACCACAGGGTTTGGGGACAGCAGGGACATCCCTGGGATGGCACCACAGGGTTGGGGACAGCAGGGACGTCCCTGCAGGAGCTGGTGCAGGGTTGGGGACAGCAGGGACATCCTGCAGGAGCTGGTGCAGGGCTGGCACAAGCCTGCTCGTCAGGGCTGTGTGCTCTGGAGGAAAGCAGCTGTGTTCATTCTCGACCTGTTCAGTGCATTCTGTGGGCACCTTTTACAGCCAGTGTCTCTCTGTGGCAGGGCTTGGATGTGAAGCAGGAGCTGCACAGGATCTGCTTGCACACACAGGACAGGCACGTCAGGGAGCTCCTGGTGAGTGCAGCAAAGGCTCCAGCCCTGCAGCCTGGCCTGGGTTTGTGCTGAGGGAAACTCTGGGAAATGGATTTATAAAAACTTTCAGAGTTTGGTAGATGGCTCACATAGTCACACAAAATATGGTGTATTTGTATGTAAACTTTGAGATAAGAAATGCTGACTTAGAGATGTCTTGGAACAGGACAGATATTGTTGAGAAAGAAATGGAACTGGAAATAAGTCTCAAAGGATAGTCTTACAAATAAAACTGGATGTTCTAGAGAAATAGAATTATGAAAGATGTATTGCAGTAGGACTTATGAAGGGTAATTTTAGATAATTTGTTTTAAGGTATTTACAGCATGGTGTGGCAAAAGCTGATAGACTAAGAAGCACTTGTAATGTAATTAGGAAATAGTTGGCTTCTGATTGTGAGGCCATGAATTATAATATCTGTATTGTCTCACCCTTCTTATGAGACTGAAAATGGATTAAAAGTTATTGAACACCTCTCAGTTGCCCCACCTCTGGGTCAGAAAAAAGCTCAGTCTGACAAGAAAGCCCTGAGTGCACTGACCTTCAGAGCAGAGAGAGCCAGCCTTGCACCTGCAGCCTCCTGGTGGCATTCCTGGAGCACCCCTGTCCCTTTGCAGCTGCAGTTAAACTACAGAGCTGTTCCAGGGTCATTCATTGCTCTCATCTGGTTCTCTCGCAGTCTGGAGTCCCCTTGTCATTTAAGTGCATTGCCCTCTGCTTGCAGAATTGTTTCCCTGCAGTTGGTTAATTGTTTGCACTTGCAGGATGGTTTACAACTTGAATAGATTAAAGATAGATAAAGACTGGGGGGAATTGGAGGTAATGTTTTAACAGGTGGAGGTAACACTCTAATTTGAATTAAAGGTGAAAGTCTTACAAGAAGAAAATTACTTTTCTGAAAAAGAAAAGAAAATGATTGACTTTGTGCATCAGGTTGAAAGCTTCTACTCAGAATCCTTCCAGGAAAACAAAGAGACTCAGTCTCTCTCCAGGTAATGTGGGTTATTAATTTTAATCATTAATTAATAGCAGTAATGGGGTTTAAAATGTGCTGGATTCTACATTCGGTGGGATTTACTGCACTAACAAATTTAATGTCATTAATTTCACACTGGTGTTTGCAGAAATCAGAGTCAGTGTGGGGACTGAGTCATTTTCTCATTTCTGTGGCAGTTGCTGTCATGTTCTCTCGTGACAAACTGCTGTGTGAGTCATGACAAACTATTGTGGGGGTGACAGAGCTCTTCTGCCTCAAAGGAAGCATTTTTAATAATAATATTAGAATTACCACTCAATTATTCGTGATCAGATGTTTGCTCTGGTTTTGATCTATGATGTCTTTAATACAGCAAACCAAATAACCTGGAAAATAATTTTACAGTTAAATAATGGTAAAACTGTTATGATACTGATAATCTGTTGGAAAAACAGGCAGTTCTTTACTCCTGCACCCTCGAGCTCAGCTCAGTCCCCCTGGCATGCCGGGCTGGGGGCTTTGCTGAGCCCTCCCCAGGTGCTGCTGAGCCCCCTGAGCCCTGCCCGTTATTGCAGGTGCAGCAGCTGGAGGAGGCAGCAGGAGCTCTCTGGGCCCCGGGCAGTGCTGGGCTCCCAGCTGGGCTGGGGCAGCCCCAGGGCGCCCTGGCTCACAGTGACCCTCAGCTGGGCCCTCTGCTGGGAGCAGCGGCTGCAGGAGATGGTGCTGCTGCCCTGGAAAGCACAGCAAGGCAAGTGCTGTGCCATGGGGCTGCACTGGCACCTGTGGGCACAGCCACAGAGGCCATGTGTGTGTCACTCACTGTGGGGGCAGTGGGGCTCACCCCGTTCCTTCCCGGTGGGGCTCACCCCGTTCCGTCCCGGTGGGGCTCACCCCGTTCCTTCCTGGTGGGGCTCACCCCGTTCCTTCCTGGTGGGGCTCACCCCGTTCCATCCTGGTTTGGGCTCACCCCGTTCCTTCCCGGTGGGGCTCACCCCGTTCCATCCCAGTGGGGCTCACCCCGTTCTGTCCTGGGTCTGGGCTCACCCCGTTCCGTCCCGGTGGGGCTCACCCCGTTCCATCCCGGTGGGGCTCACCCCGTTCCATCCCGGTGGGGCTCACCCCGTTCCATCCCGGTGGGGCTCACCCCGTTCCATCCTGGGTCTGGGCTCACCCCGTTCCGTCCCGGCGGGGCTCACCCCGTTCCATCCCGGTGGGTTTCACCCCGTTCCATCCCGGTGGGTTTCACCCCGTTCCGTCCCGGTGGGGCTCACTCTGTTCCTTCCCAGTGGGGCTCACCCCGTTCTGTCCTGGGTCTGGGCTCACCCCATTCCATCCCGGTGGGCTCACCCCGTTCTGTCCTGGGTCTGGGCTCACCCCATTCCATCCTGGTTTGGGCTCACCCCGTTCCATCCCGGTGGGGCTCACCCCGTTCCATCCTGGTTTGGGCTCACCCCGTTCCGTCCCGGTGGGGCTCACCCTGTTCCATCCCGGTGGGGCTCACCCCGTTCCATCCTGGGTCTGGGCTCACCCCGTTCCATCCTGGGTCTGGGCTCACCCCGTTCCATCCTGGTTTGGGCTCACCCCGTTCCATCCCGGTGGGGCTCACCCCGTTCCATCCCGGTGGGTTTCACCCCGTTCCATCCCGGTGGGGCTCACCCCGTTCCATCCCGGTGGGGCTCACCCCGTTCCATCCCGGTGGGGCTCACCCCGTTCCATCCCGGTGGGTTTCACCCCGTTCCATCCCGGTGGGGCTCACCCCGTTCCATCCCGGTGGGGCTCACCCCGTTCCATCCCGGTGGGGCTCACCCCGTTCCATCCCGGTGGGGCTCACCCCGTTCCATCCTGGTTTGGGCTCACCCCGTTCCATCCCGGTGGGGCTCACCCCGTTCCATCCCGGTGGGTTTCACCCCGTTCCATCCCGGTGGGGCTCACCCCGTTCCGTCCCGGTGGGTTCCACCCCGTTCCATCCTGGGTCTGGGCTCCTCCTGTGGAGAGGGGTTTGGAATTAGCTGGGAGGGACTTACCTCATGTGAATGCCACCCCCTGCCCTGGGGAACTGCTTCCAGCTCTGCCAACGTGAGGCTCCAAGAGCTGGAGCAATACCCTTGATCTCATGGCAGCTGTTCATTACAAATAGGTACCTGGAGGGACAGGGCCCAGGAATGGCTCCCACTGCCAGAGGGCAGGGCTGGATTGGATTTTGGGAATCAGGAATTGTTCCCTGGCAGGGTGGGCACGGCCTGGATCCCTGGCAGTGCCCAAGGCCAGGCTGGGTGGACTTGGAGCCACCTGGGACAGTGGGAGGTGTCCCTGCCCATGGCTCTGGATGCTCTTTAAGGTCCCAGCCCAAACCATTGCACAATTCTGTGTAAGAAAACACCAGTATTTTCCTCAGGGGTGTTTGTGTGTGCTGGTTTCATCCATTTGCCTTTTTGAAATGCAGAACTCAAGACCTGCAGCGCTGAGGTGCTCTGGATGCACCTGACAGCCCAGCATGACTGGTTGAGGATTTGTTCCTGGATTGAGGAGTCAGAGCCCAGCCAGGCTCCATGTGGCAGAGCTGCCTGGCCCCCCCTGAGCCCTGACATCGTGGACAGGAGCACTCTGTGCAGCCCCTACATGAGACAGGACATCCTCAACAAGCTGGCCAGGTAGGGGCCCCAAGGCTTCTCTCTCCTTCCTGTGTGAAGCCAAAATCAGAAATAAAATCCTTGGTACTTACTAGTTTTTATACTGCTCTTTTTGGAAACAGCACAAATCCATTGATAAATGTGATTTTAGTCTCCTACTTTACCTGCCAACAGTAAGAGCCAGGAGAGCAGGAGCACTCCTCCCTCAGCCCTTGGATGTTTCAGGGGTTACATTCCTGATGCCCACTTTAATGCCAGGGAGGAAATGCTGAGCATTTCCCTGGTCACACCTCGCTCTGGGCAGTGCCCTGCAGTCACCACAGTGCTGTTGGGGCACAGGCAGATGGATTTTGGCACTCTGTGTCTGCCCTAGCAGGGAATGAATCCCTGCTCTAATTGTGAGCTGGAAACACCCATCAGAACTTGTCAAGGAGAGCTGTGTGATCAGTGTCTGTGCTTTTTTCTGACAGAAAGGGCATTTTTGTCCCTTCTGAGCTGGAAGATTTTGAGCTGCTGCTCCAGAGGTTGTCGTGCCTGGGGGGAGTCCTGCAGAATCCTCACCCTGTTCCAAAATACAGCTCTGCCAATGGCCTGGACTTCCATGCCCAGTTTGTCCTCCACTGCCTGGAGCACAGCCTGCAGTACCTGCTGTACACTTACCTGGACTATTACAGGTAGGAATGCTTCCCATCCCTCAAACCCCACAAGGGATCCCAGATTTAAAGAAGGAAACACAATTTGAACAGTTGGTGGGGAGACTTTTCCTCAGCCCTGGCAGTGTCATTTACCAGAAACTCTGGGGCAGTGTGGGAGATTTTAAGCTGTATTTTGAAACTTTATTCAGATTGTCTTAATATTAATTTGTGTGTCAGTCGTGAAAGGAAACAATTACAGCTGTAATTAGTATAATGCTGTAAGCAGTACAATCCTGAATGAGCCAAGTTGCTCTTCAGAAGCTCCGAATTTACAGAATTCAGAAACTCTCTTGAGCACAAGTGTGAGTTGACTCCTGATATGTTCACAGATAAGGAAATTGCTGAATTCCACCTAATCTAGGGTTAGTTGGGGTTTGAAGGTGGTACCAGTATTAGCTATTGGAGCTATGTGAATACTTCCCACTTAATGGTTACTTGGCAATTAGAATTTCTGAGCTCTAACTCCAGTCTAACACTGGAATTACCAGAGATGTAGAAGTGGACCAGAAAAAAAAGCCAGTACATAATTTTCTGGTTGTTTGTCTAACCACTTGTATTTGGTATTAACACCCATGAGATGCTCCAGTCTTTAATGCTGTGTCACAGCAGTGGTTTCCAATGCTGTATTTTCACTGTGCTGCTCATTTATTTGCAGTTTAACCCCTTCAAACTGCCCTGTCCTGGGTAACAAGGAGCTGCAGGAAGCACATCCCTGGTTTGAGTTCCTGGTGCAGTGCAGAGGGGTTGCCAGCAATCCCCGAGGTAGGAATTGCTCCAGAGGGGGCTGATGTTCCTGCCCTAGCCCAGGGCTTGGCACAGCTGGATTAAACCTCTGCTCTGCTGCAAACCCCCTGTCCATCACCTCCTCATCTCTGAAATCTGGGCTGTAGTTCCTGCTGGAGCTGTGCTCAAAGGCCTGGAGACTGCACAGGAGTGAGGATCACTCTGTGTGTGACCATCCTTTCCTCAGTTCAGTTACATTGCCAACAGGTTGAGCAGAAGGAGAATTCATGAGAAGACACACATCCCATTAAAATTAAACCTTCCTCTAGTTCCTGTGGTGCATTTTGATTTCTCTGCCCTTGGGTTGTGTGTTTGCTTTACTGAAAACCAGAACAGTTTGTGCCCCTAGCTCCTTGCACTTCTAAAACATTTCATCTTCTGCAGAGTCACACATCAACAAAAGACAAAACTAATCCCAAGTGAAGCTTTTTTAGAAAGCATGGTCAGTGTAGGATAAAGAATTGAACCACTCCAGTGCTAAACTGTGGGGCTCAGGCCAAGCCTGTCTGTGTGGGCAAAGCTTGGTAAACCTTAGCTCATCTTCATTGTGTTTATAGGCAAAGTGAGGGAAAGCAGAATGGGCAACAAAAAGTAATAAAATTCAGCATTTTTCACAGGCAGAGGACAGCTGTAATGTGTAATTAATCGTTTAATACTGGTTTTACATGGAATTAAATTTCACTTTTTTTTCCTTTTAAGATCCCAAGATGATTTTCCAGGCCAGTCTGGCCAATGCTCAGATGCTGATTCCCAGCAGCCAGGGGGGTGTGAGCAGCATCCTGCTGGAGGGCAGGACCCTGCTGGCCCTGGCCACCACAGTCTATGGGCCTGGGGGCATCGACCAGGTACTGCCTGACCCCTCTGACCCCCCTGTCCTGCTGCTCCTATCATGGCTGTGATAGAAAAATGCCCCCTTGGACAGAAAATTGCTGGAGCAGAGGGGGTGACCAGAGTGTCTTGATCCACAGCACAGTCACCTGCAGCATCAGGTGCTGGGGTCTGATACAACTGAAAAGCATTTTACAGGAAAGAAGATGGTATTTTCTGTGTTGTCAAATTCCTGTGGGGTGGACTGGGACACCCCAAAATTGTTTTGTTGCTATTGATGCAGTTTCCTCCTAATTAATTTTGCTTGCTTGCAATGTAGGTCCTTCAGAATGAAGATACAGAAAAACCTCTCAAGAAAGTTGATCCACAGCTCTTGAAGATGGCCTTGACCCCTTACCCCAAGCTCAAGGCTGCTCTCTTTCCCTCCTGCACTGCTCATGGGATTTTGCCTCCTGACATCTCTCTCTACCACCTCCTGCAGGTACCCAGAGTGCTTTTGGCAGGGCACCAGGACAGAGAGGTTTGTTTGCAGCTAAAGCTGGGGCTGGGGGCCAGGGATTTCTTTGGCATCCTGGATGTGGAGCTGAGGTTCCCAGCTTCATCCTGAGCTGCTTTTTCGGGTGCTCTCTGCACCCTGTGAGTTTGCAGTGCTGGAATGTCAGAGGGGTGTTCTCACAGTGTTCAGTGGGCAAGGTGTTTAATAGTGCAGAAACTGCAATATTTCAATTTTATAATGTTTGTGACGGTATGAGAATTAGAAATTGAGAGTTACAGGACAGTGATGTGAAATTCTTAAGCTGCCTCAATTTATTTTGTTTCTGATCTTTCAGTCATTAATGCCCTTTGATCCCACGAAATTGTTTGGCTGGCAGTCAGCAAACACTCTGGCTGTGTCAGGTATGTCCCTTGCCAAGGGTTCCATGCTTTCCTAAAGAAAATTACTTTCCAGGGGAATTGTTTGGCAGATAAATTTACTCAAAAGGCCATTTCTTTCACAAGAAAAATAGTGTAATCTACTGAAATTCTGTTTTGCACTAGAGTTCTAGATTTTCGCGTTAAGCTTTTCACAGGCAGAACTTTTTCTAAATATAGAAAATTATCTGAATATAAGATAGAAAACCAATGTTTTCTTTTCCAAGCAAGCTGAGGTGATAGAGCCGTGCTTTCCCAGTGAGGAGTGGGGTTTCAGGGTGGTTTTGGATGTGACTTAGAGCCCGAGGAGCAGGTTTGGCTCTCCCCTGAGGTTCTGCAGCTGACCCTGCTGCTGCTGTGCATTCACAGTGTCCTGACAGTGCTGCTGTGTCGTTCCCAGATGCCTGGAGCCAGCTGCCCCACTTCTCCAGCCCGGGGCTGGTGAGCAGGCACGCCGTGCTGGAGAGGCTGGATTTCCTGTTCTACCTGCGGCACGGCCGGCCCGCCTTCGCCTTCGGCACCTTCCTGGGCCAGCAGCTGGCCAGGAGCAAGGCCCCCAGGCAGCTGTGAGTGTCCCCAGCTGGGAGCCCCTACACCCTCCCCAGCAGCACTCAGTGCTCTAAGGGTTAGAAATCAGATAGCACTGGAAAGACGTGAGCTTGGTTTGGAGTCGCCTCAGCAAATCTGCACAAAGGAAGTGAGGAAAAGATCCCCGCTTTGATCAAACATGGGTGGGCTCCTCTTGTAGGAAAATGAGCCCCTAGTTGACTTTGTAGGAGCATGATGCCCCTTTTCTGTGACATTTCCTAGTTTAAATAGCAAGGCAAAAAATGCACTGGAGGTGGATAGAATTAAATGTCCTGGCTGAAGCTTCAAAATCAGGTGTTCAGTCAAGTGACACATCTTGCTTGAATTCATGAAACTTGCTGTTTAGTGTGGGAATTAGAGCAAATCACTTTGTTTCTGTCTGGTTTGTGTATCAGTCACTGTTTCTCTCCATCATTTCCACACAGATTGTTTCTCTTGTGTAAACAGGTAAAACTGGGGCAAAAAAGGAAACATACATTAATGTGAAGTCATGGTGTAACAGACAGCCAGGGATGCAGGGTTATTTCAGTGACTGCTGTGGGAAAACCCTTTGGGTTCATTTTTCTCTTAGCACCATCTGCAGGTCAGACTCAGGTTCCTGGTGCTGCAGTGGACTGCAAACTCTGCAAAGGCTCTTTCTGCCTTTCTCAGCTGCTGAGGGGGTCTTTTGTTATTATAACACCAATTCCACTACCTTTAGTTTTTGATAAGCATGTTAAATTGCAAACTCTGCTTATCACATGTAAGCCTTCATTCTCATCCCCACATTTTTTACAAATATGAAACTTTTGGCTCACAGTTACCTCTGATACTGATGGCTCAGAGTTCAGCAAACCCCACAGCTGCTTGTTTGCCTGGGGAGGGAGTTTGGGGGGTTATCTGGGAAAGGGAGGCTGACTGCATTCGTGCAGTGGTGACAGCTGTGTGTGCTCCCTGCAGGATCCAGCAGGCAGCTCGGGAGGCCCAGCTGCTGGCCCTGAGCTCCTTTGGTGTCCCCTCGGTGGCTGCAGCCTGCGTGTGCTTCCTGGAGCTGCTGGGGCAGGACAGCCTGGGGCTGAGGGTGGCCCTCAGGGCTGCCAGCCTCATCTCCAGCCACTGCCCCACCAGGGACTCCCTGGGTAAGGCTGCCCTTGTCTGCCTTGCGTGGCTGCTCTGGGTGTCTTGGCAAGGGAGGGAGGGATGCGAGGGGCTGCCTGGGGCTCAGCACTGCACTAAAAGCATGGAAGAGCTTCCTTGTTCTTTTGTTCCTGTTTCTTTACTCATTCTGAAAGGTGCATTCTGATCCTGTAGTGTCAAGTAAGGCAAGAGGACTGATATAGGCTGTATCAGGATCTAACAGACACTGCCCAGCAGCTGCCTGAGACTGATACTAGTGAGGTTCAGTTGTAAGAACATTGCAGAGAGTTAAACAAAGTCCATTGCCAAATCCCCTTTCTCCTTCCTTTCATTTACCTGCAGGGATATCAGGTGTTCAAAGCTGTGGGGAAATTTATCCTAGGGTAAATTTATCCTAGAAATAACTCTAGAAAGTTGAATTTCTAACACCAGGGCCACAGGTGTCTGTTTTCCCAGCTAGGAAGCTACTCCTGAAAATGCTGGCCCGGCTCTGATCCCAGTAGCACCTCAGGAATGTGTTCTTTTAAACAGTTGAGAAGCTAACAAGGTTGGCTGATGGTGAAAAGGCAGCAGCAGCAGCAGTCCTGACCTCCTTGGAAGAGGCCTTCTGGGATGCCATTGAGCAGCAAGGCATAAAGAGGTGAGAGCAGCCGGGTTTGCTTTCCTGGGAGGAGGTGGAGGCTGAGCTCTGCCCTCTGTGTGCCAGATAACACCGAGGAGGGCAGCACAGCACAGGGACCTGGCTGCAGGGGCCCCCGGGGCTGTGCCCAGGCAGTGCCAGGGTCGCTCCAGACCCGAGCCTGTGCTGCAAACTGCAGCTCTCTGAACTCTGTGCAGGACATCCAGTGACTGCAGGAGGCAGTGGGCCCTGGTCATGCAGTTCTGCAAGCTGCATAACCTGGAGCTGAGCACGTCCTTCCTGAGGGAATGTGCCAGGTCCAACGAGTGGCTGCAGTTCCTGATCCAGACGCAGCTCCACGGCCACCAGCCAGCCCAGGTGAGCTCCCTGTGCACTGAGCTGGGTCTGGGAGCAGGGGAATGTCCCAGTGTGGAGACAGCAGGAGCCTCACCAGCTCTGCGTTTTGGTTCTCATACCCTGGGACTGTGGTAGCCCTTCCCTTGCAGCCACACTTGTAAATTTAATTTAAACTCAAGTAGTTACTGCTTTTTTTAATTGGAGAGTTGCCAGATGTTCAGTGTAAGTTATAATGAAGCTATTCATCTTTCCTTTCAAAAATTATTTTTTTTGTAAAGATACTTAAACTTTTGAGAATCCAAATTTTCCAAGTTTAATTTTGAATGCGATTTAAAAAGGAATAAAACACTCCAATAAAAGCAATTGGGAAAAGTCATGTGAGGAAGCTAAGTGGGAAATTCCAGGTAAGATGGTGCTTAGCAGACCTAGAATTTTAACTTGGATCTGCTTGTGGTTTTGAAGAATTTGTAACTCCACAAAAGCACCTGAGTAGACTCTTTTCAGCTCTGTTGCTGCCCTACAAGGTAGAGCAGAACTGAGGCTCCCTTTGTGGAATAGGATGAGCTTTCATTAGAATAATTCACACCTACAGAACCCTTTTTCCTCTCCGGGTCTCCAAAGCTGTTCTAAAAACTGAATTTGGAGAGTGTTTTGTCTCTGTGTGTTCAGTGCTTCCATCCTGCCCCATCCTGTCTGGCCTCACAAGGCTCTGGTGCTGTTTCCCCACAGGTCCTTCCCCTGCTGCAGGATTTCCCTGCTGTGGTCCAGGATCACCTGCAGCTGGCCCTGGGGAGGCTGCTGGGAGCTGAGGCAGGAGCTGCAGGCAGGGCCCGTGCAGGGAGCCTGTTCCAGACGCTGCTGCAGTGCCAGGAGCAGCCCAGCCCCTGCGGGTTCCTGCTGGCTGAAGGGCTCAGGGCACAGGCCCCCATCCTCAGCGTGCTGGCAGCCTGCTGCCCTGTGAGTCTGCCCTGTGGGATGGCTGGTGGCACAGCTGGCACTGCCAGGCTCTGCCCCAGGGCTCTGCTGCCCCGTGAGTCTGCCCTGTGGGGATGGATGGTGGCACAGCTGGCACTGCCCCAGGGCTCTGCTGCCCCGTGAGTCTGCCCTGTGGGATGGGTGGCTGTGCCAGGCTGTGCCCCAGGGCTCTGCTGCCCTGTGAGTCTGCCCTGTGGGATGGCTGTGGCACAGCTGGCACTGCCCCAGGGCTCTGCTGCCCCGTGAGTCTGCCCTGTGGGGATGGGTGGCTGTGCCAGGCTCTGCCAGGCTCTGCTGCCCCGTGAGTCTGCCCTGTGGGATGGCTGGTGGCACAGCTGGCACTGCCAGGCTATGCCAGGCTGTGCCCCAGGGCTCTGCTGCCCCGTGAGTCTGCCCTGTGGGGATGGCTGGTGGCACAGCTGGCACTGCCAGGCTCTGCTGCCCCGTGAGTCTGCCCTGTGGGATGGCTGGTGGCACAGCTGGCACTGCCCCAGGGCTCTGCTGCCCCATGAGTCTGCCCTCCTGGGCCTGTGGGGGTGGCTGGTGGCACAGCTGGCACTGCCAGGCTCTGCCAGGCTCTGCTGCCCTGTGAGTCTGCCCTGTGGGATGGATGGTGGCACAGCTGGCACTGCCAGGCTCTGCTGCCCTGTGAGTCTGCCCTGTGGGATGGCTGGTGGCACAGCTGGCACTGCCAGGCTCTGCCAGGCTCTGCTGCCCCGTGAGTCTGCCCTGTGGGATGGGTGGCTGTGCCAGGCTGTGCCCCAGGGCTCTGCTGCCCTGTGAGTCTGCCCTCCTGGGCCTGTGGGATGGCTGGTGGCACAGCTGGCTCTGCCCCAGGGCTCTGCCCCAGGGCTGTCTGCACTGCCATCACAGCTGCTCTTGTGTTTCTGGGGTGGCTGTGCCCAGCGTGCCCCCTTCCACCAGGAGGGGAGGTGTGAACCCTCCCTTTTGGCATTTCCAGGGTGCCAACCTCATCTCCTGCCTCTGTGTGTGGATCATCACTTCTGTGGATGATGCCACCAGGGCTGAGGCCACTGCCCACAGCCAGGGCGGGGCAGAGGGTCCCCAGTGGGACCTGCAGGACCTTGCTGTCATCTGGAAAGTCCTCTTGAGGAAGCAGAAGAGCAAAACACTTCTGAGTGGCTTCCAGCTCTTTTTAAAGGTGAGGGGATGTGGTTTCAGGGGTGTATTTGATGTGTCTCACCTTCTGGGCCTTAAACTCCCCTCTGTCTTGCTTGTGCCAAGGATAACCTGCCTCTCCACTGAAATTCCCAGTCAAGTTGGAAGTTCTTCCAGTTATCACAGATTTTTAGATCCTACATCAACCTTGCATGCAATTTTAATAAATTAAAGCTTCATTGTTCTGCTGCTGAGGGTGACAAATTCTACATTGATTGAATGAAATAATAGATGATTTTTAAAGTATGATTTATTTATTGGGTACTTTTGGGAATTTATTATCATCTGGTTTTGTGTCTTAAAGGATTCCCCTTTGCTGCACATCCTGGAGATGTATGAGCTCTGCATGAACTGTAAGAAATACAGTGAAGCTAAAATCAAACTGGACAAATTTCAGGAAAGCCTCACAAACGTAAGGAAATAAATTTTCTCTAAATGTCATTGCTGGGATTGGGCAGCTGTGCCAAGAGGAGCAGTGTGTGAAAACACTCTGTCTCTCAATGCAGATGCTTTAACAATTCTTTCCTCTCCATCCCAGTTTCTGGCTCCCTGCTAACTGACATTATTCCCTGTCATTAATGGTTTTCCTTCCTGGACACTGGGCTCAGGCAGCTCAGTTCCCTTCCCCAGCAGTGCCAGGGCTGTTTGTGTAACAATTAATTCTACCTGGCCCTGTTTGTGTAACAATAAATTCTACCTGGCCCTGCTGGCCCTGCTCAGCCCTCCCACCTGCCCTGGCTTTCAGCAGTACCTGCTGTGGAATGTCCAGCTCCAGCTCAGCACAGCTCGGGGTTGGCAGCTCCCTGTTCCATCAGTTAATTAATTGATGGAACAATAAATTCTACCTGGCCCTGCTCAGCCCTCCCACCTCCCCTGGCTCTCAGCAGTACCTGCAGTGCAATGTCCAGCTCCAGCTCAGCTCGGGGCTGGCAGCTCCCTGTTCCATCAGTTAATTGATGGATGGAACAATAAATTCTACCTGGCCCTGCTCAGCCCTCCCACCTCCCCTGGCTCTCAGCAGTACCTGCAGTGCAATGTCCCAGCTCAGCGCAGCTCGGGGCTGGCAGCTCCCTGTTCCCCGAGGAGGGGCACAGCTGCTGCCCCTTCCATTCCCCCCCGGAGCACGGGGAAGGGCCCCCCTGATCCTGACCCCCTTGTTTCCGCAGCTGGGGGCCGCAGGGGGAGCAGCCCCCGCGGTGCCGCTGCCGTGGCTGCGCTCGCAGGCGCTGTTCCTCCTGGAGCTGATGCTGCAGCAGTGCCACACTGACTACGAGCTGGGCAGGCTCCTGCAGCTGCTGGCTGCGGCAGAGCCCCTCCTGCTGGACGGTGAGCACAGCAGGACCCCCAGCCCCGCGGCAGGGCCGGCTCCTGAGGGAGCCCCGGCCTCCCCTGGGCCTCAGCCCAGCCTTGCTGAGCTCTTGGTTCTCTTCTGCCAGGCCCGCACCTGAAGAGGCTCTGTGCCCTCAGTGAGGCCCTGAGGGACGCCTCCATCTCCATCAGCCGCTCCATCCTGACCGCCTGCAGCCTGGAGGCGTTCCAGGGCGAGTGCAGCTCCATTCTGGAGCAGCTGCAGGAGAGGGGAATGTTCAGCCTGGCTCGGGAGGTGGCAGCCCTGGCTGAGCTGCCCGTGGACAGCGTGGTCACACAGGAGGTACAGTGCATGTGCTGACAGTCACCTCTTCCTGCTGCTGCCAGGATTCAGGATGCAACTTCTCAGCCTTCCTGAAACATTCATGTTTTTGTTAAGTAATTTTTTATTTTAAATGCAAGTACACCCAACACACAGGCTGTAAGTGCTGAGCTGCAGAGTGCAGGACAACTGTCCTCATTCTCCTACTGTTTTTATTTGTATGCAATCACTTTTATTTGGGGAGAAAAATAGATGTGTTTGTCCATCAGGGGGTGTAAGGAGATGGTCTTTAAGGTCCCTTCCAACCCAAACCAGTTCTGTGACTTGTTGTGTTTTGGGGCACTTCCCTAAATCCAGTGTTTCAGTGCTGCCCATCCTGTGTGAGCTGGAGTTTTCTTTCTTGGAAAGACAATTGTGATAAACCTCTGTGGATTTTACAGGTTCTGAGAGATCTACATCATTTAAGAGACACTGGCCAGTGGCATCAGAGCCAAACCAGAGCAGAGTTCTGGCAGAAGTGTGACGACACTTTCAGCAGACATTCCATCTGCAGCCGAGCCGCAGCAGGCTTCTTCCTGCAGCAGGCTGACAACGTGTGGGATTGCTCAGGGCAGGAGAAGACAACCAGCATGGTGGAGAGGCGGCTGCTGCTCACCCTGGCGGGGCACTGGCTGGCCAAGGAGCGCGGGGTGGCGGCGCAGGAGCTGCAGGAGGTGGAGAAGCGGATCTGGCAGTGCCGCGTGGCGGAGCGGGCGCTGCTGCCCGAGGGCTCGGAGCCGTGCCCCGGGGCCCTGCGCTTGGGCAGCCTGGCTGAGCGCTTCTCCTTTGCGCGGCTGCCGGCGCTGGACGCGGCCGAGCCCCGCGGGCTGCGGGCGCTGCCCGCCCGGGAGGCGCGGGCGGCGCTGGGGGCCGCGGAGCGGGCGGCGCTGGGGGCCCTGCTGGGGACCCTGCTGGAGCAGGGCAGCGTGCACGAGGCCGCCCGCGTGTGCCGCTACTTCCAGCTGTGGCACCGGGACGTGGCCCTGGTGCTGCACTGCCGGGCCCTGGCCCTGGGCGAGGCCGCGCTGCAGCAGCTGCAGCCCGAGGTGCAGACCCTGCTGACGGCCGAGGCCAGCGCGGAGCCCAGCAGTGAGTGACCCCCGAGCCCTGTCCCCCCTCCCCAAAGCTCTGCAGAACCCTCCTGCCTTCTCTCCCTGCTGCAGAAATGCTCTTCTGAGAGCAGCTTGTGGCCTTGCCCTGCACGTGTCCCTGTGTGCTCCTGGCAGAGTGTTCTGTGTACAATTCCCATCGATCTGAACCTTCCATTTGTCAGAGCTCTCGGTTCTGGCCCAGTAAAGCAGCACTGGGCTTTATCCCTCTTCCTGCTTTTAGAAAACACTCCACTAATTTTTTTCCTGTAGCTGAAGTAAGGCAATACCTTAGTTAATACATTTTTCTGACTCCTTTAGCCATTATGAAGGGTTTGGTGTTTCTTGTTTAGTAGCAAGGCTAAGGCTGAGAATGTTTATCTGTAAAGTTCTCTGCCTGTCTGTGAGGTCTGAGTGAGCAAGTTTCAGCTGGAACATCCCTTTCTAATACTGATGTGTAAAGCTGAATAGATACAGAAGAGCATAAATGAATCCTAAGCCATCAGGAAGGCTGCAGAACACTTAATCTTAGAAATTTTATATCTGAGAAATTATTGACAATATTTGAGTTCTGTTACATTGTTTGTACCCTGAAACAAATGTAAGATTTAAAAATCACAGGTGCCAAGAGCAAGTTTTCAAAGTTTGAGGAAGTATTACAGAATTGCTGCAGGTTTTGAGAGCCTTGCCCAGGTATAAGGGAGTTGTCTGCCTTTGTGAGATAGGAATTGATGGTTTTTTGTTTCCAGCATCCAGCCTGGAGGACTGGACCCCTCTGGGGTGTGGGGATGATGCCGTGGTGGCAGCACTGAAGGCCCTGGCAGAGGAATGTGTCCATGGCAGGGGTTACTGCAGGCAGGTCCTGTGCCTCTACGAGCTCTCCAAGGTAAGCCCAGGGGCCAGGGCCTTGGGCCAGCCCTGCTGGGGCTGGGGAGGGCAGAGTGAGAGGGTGGAGGTCCTGGCAGGTGCTGCAGAGGGTGGAATTCCAGCCCTTTGTGTGGGAAAAGGCCAGAGGCTTCCTGGGCATGATGTGCTGAGATGAGCTTGAGCACAGCTGTCCAATTCCAGCTCCAGGTGATGCAGTCCATCCTCCCACTTTGCTCTCCTCAGTTCAGTGTTATTTTACACTTTTTGGGCCTGAAGCTGCAGCGGTGTCCTTGGTTCTGGGGCTGGAAAAGGATTGTTTTATCTGGCTGAGCTGTGAGGAGAACTGCTGACACTCTGTAATGGAGTTCAGAGTTGTAAACTAATGCAGTACAGAATCTGGAAAATGTGAAAGCTCAAACTTAAGGCATCACCTGGGGTTAAGGGGAGGTGCCATGGGTGGGGATGCCCTGATGGGGTTCTGGGTGCTGCTCCTTTGGGGAGGTTCCATGGGTAAGGATGCTCTGATGGTTTTGGTGCTCTCCCCCAGGACCTGAGCTGCTCCTTTGCGGAGGTGCCATGGTCAGGGATGCCCTCATGGTTTTGGTGCTCTCCCCCAGGACCTGAGCTGCTCCTTTGGGGAGGTGCCATGGTCAGGGATGCTCTGATGGGTTTGGTGCTCTCCCCCAGGACCTGAGCTGCTCCTTTGCGGAGGTGTCGGCGCGGGAGCCGCGGGAGGTGCTCGGGGCCCTCCTGGCGCGGCGGGGGCCGGAGCGGGGCCGTCGAGCCCAGGCCTTCATCACCTGCCAGGGGCTGCCCCCCGCCACCGTGGCCCCTCTGCTGGCACAGCAGATCACCCACGAGCTGCTGGCCTCGGCCCAGGGAAAAGGTGGGCACAGGCTGCCTGTGGTGTGGGCACACACCTGGGCTGTGCTGGGGGCACAGGGAGCACACCTGGGCTGTGCTGGGGGCACAGGGAGCACACCTGGGCTGTGCTGGGGTTTGGTGGGGGCACAGGGAGCACACCTGGGCTGTGCTGGGGTTTGGTGTGTGCACAGGGAAAAGGGGACGGGCCAGGTTTGCTCTCTGGGGTCATTTCTGTGTCCCCAAAGCAGCCCCTGCACTCAGTCCCTGAGAGCTCAGCTCTGCTCTGTGAGCATTGTCTGCCCCATGTAAAGTTCTGTACAAGTGCTCATTTGTAATTATTCTTGTGTCCAGTATGTTCATTTGTAATTATTCCGGTGTCCAGTATAGTTAAGGCTGTATTTTTGTGGACATAAATTTAATATTTCTTTTTTAAAAGGCTTTTTAGCCTTGGTCTTTGCTGCCCCACATCATCTGACCTGGGAATATCATGTGCATTTCCCTGTGTAAAATATGACAAAAGGTTCTCCCCTTTCTTTTTTCCTTTGGGAAATCAGGGGCAGCTGTATGGTTGTCCACTAGGATTTTGTTGGGTTAAACTGGCAAAAAAGTAATTTCTGATTGTTAAATTTAAGCAATAACACCCAAAGTGTCTTTAGGATTGTACTCCCAAGTCCTCAGTCAGTCTGGATGATACCAGATTGGTTTGTTTGGGGTTTGTTAATTAATGATAAGAAATAATAGGAGTTCTCTCCTGCACAATCAGCAGTGGTGACAGAATTCTCTCTCTGGCCACAGGGCAGAAGCAGGCTTGGAACCCTGCAGTGGAGAGCCAGGAGCTCCTGCAGCTTGCCAAGCTGTGCCAGGATCACACCTTGGTTGGGATGAAGTTGCTGGATAAAATCTCCTCAGTCCCCCGTGGGGAGCTGTCGTGCAGTGAGTAAATGGCAAATCCTGCCTGGTGTAACCTGTGTGTAACTAATGTGGCGTTGTTGGCTTAAACTCACAGCTCAAAGGGGAGGCTCTGCTGCTGATCTCCAATTTGATATTCAGTTAGTAGGGCTGAGGATGTGCACAGTAGATAGGGGTGTTGCTTAAGGGTTTATTTTCCAAACAAAATTCAGATTTCTGTGCTAAGCAAGAGGTGGGAGATGCAGCCAGGGAGTAACCTGAGCTGTGGTGGTTTGTTACAGAAGGGGCATTGTGACTTTGTTCATATTTATCACAGTTAGGAACTGAATGTTTCAAACCCAAATGCAAAACTCGTGCCCTTCCTTTTCCCAGTGCAGGGCTGGCAGGCAGGGCAGTGAGGATGTGTTACACATTTGGCAGCCTTGGCTGGGGGAGGCTGCAGCTTCCGCGCTTGTGTGTGGTTTGTGTTTTCTGGAGAGAGGCACAATTCACTTCCTCAGCCCTTTCACTGAAGTCCCAGAACTCTTCTGCTCCTCAGTTACAGAGCTGCTGATCCTGGCCCACAGCCTCTTCAGCCTGACGTGTCACATGGAGGGGATCACGCGAGTGCTGCAGGCAGCTCGGCTGCTCACCGAGGAGCACCTGGCTCCCAGGGAGGAGTACGGGCTGGTGGTGAGTGTCCCTGGGCTGGGGCTGTCCCTGCACTGTCCCTGGGCTGTCCTGGGCTGGCTGTGCCTGTCCTGGCTGTGCCTGCCCAGTGGTGATTCAGCTGCTGGGGAAATGTGCTGCTCTGTGGCACTGGGCATCTTTAATTGCTGCCTTGAAGGATCTCCTGGAGCCTGGGACGTGCCCAGTGGAATGGTGTCAGTGCTGAAAGCTTCACAGCCTATTTTTATGAGATCAAATCATGCCCTTTGAGCTCCCTGTGGGGCAGCTGCAGTTTGTGTTGGTCTAGGAGTACCCCCATGGCTCCAGGGGAACACGTGCAGCCTGGGCTGCCCTGGGAGGGGATTGTTCACTCCCCTGGAGCTGCTGAGGTGCCCTGGTGTCCCCAGGTGCGCCTGCTGACAGGCATTGGCAGGTACAATGAGATGACCTACATCTTTGAGCTGCTGCACCAGAAACACTACTTCGAGGTGCTCATGAGGAAGAAGCTGGACCCGGTATGTGAGGGACAAACGTGCAGGGAAGTTACACCCAGTTTACACAGGCTGAAACTGTCTGGACATTTTACTTTCTGAGTAAAATTTACTTCCTGAATAGAGAGTCAGGTTTCATAGAAATAAATTAATGCTGGGGTTTATTCTTATTTTAGTTGAAACATTATTTCCTAATTAGTTCTGTGCTACAACGAGAGCAGCGTTGAAGCTTGAACTTGACATTGTCAGAGTTTTAACATCCTTGCTTTGCTTTTATTTGCAGTTAAAGTTTCATGGGGGTTTTAAAAATCACAGCTACTCATAGCTGTTTTAAGTAAGCCATGAAGAAATGTCACATACTGACATTGGTATGCAAAGAAGCACACGGGTGCTGGATTTTCATGCCCAGCTGAGCACGGGCCTGGGGCTGCTGTTGGGTTTTAGGTGCAGTGGTCCCTTCTGGGGACAGGGTGGGTGCAGGCTGTGCTCAGGGTGCCCAGAGGGTGGGTGCAGGCTGTGCTCAGGGTGCCCTCTGTGCCCAGAGCGGGACGCTGAAGGCAGCACTGCTGGACTACACCAAGCGCTGCCGGCCCGGCGACAGCGAGAAGCACAACATGATCGCGCTGTGCTTCAGCATGTGCAGGGAGATCGGCCAGAACCACGAGGCTGCCGCCTGCACCCAGCTCAAACTCATCGAGTGCCGGCCCTGGGGTGAGCGGGGGCGGACGGGCAGGGGAGGTGCTGGGCTCCTGGAGCAGCCCTGGAGCTGCTGCTGCCGGCGGGAGGCTCTGCCCTGGGTGTGCACAGAGGGTCTGAGATCCGGGGCTCTTTCCTGATGTAACATTCCCGCGGAGCAGGGACACTGCCAGGTTTCCCTCAGCCCACAGGATGGGACACAGTGGCCTCACAGGGGCTCTGTGAAGTGCTGGGGTTTGTCTCTGAGTGTGGCAGCCACGGGGTGAGCTCTGCAGCGTGGGCAGCCAGTGCTGTGAGAGCAGCGACACCGGGAGCTGTGCCAAGGGATTTCCAAGTGGCTCTGGCAGTGGTCAGTGCTGGGATCTGCCACAAATGTGGGGCTGGGGTTTCTTTCCAGCTTCCCATCACTCAACCAGGCTCCAGCAAAGCTTTGGCCCATTAACTGAACAGGCACTGTGTTTCATCCTGCTTTTTTAATGTATAAATGTTGGTTTAGTTTTTGGTGCTTTATGAGACAACACCAGGGACAGACTTGGCACTGGGAGGGAGTTTTAAAAGTAACTTTGTCACCTTTATAAATAATTGGTTATTCCTTCTTTTTTCCTGTTTCAGAGGAGTCTCTTCAGGATGTTCCAAATTTAAAGAAGCTGCTACTGAAAGCTGTGACTCTCTTCATTGATGCAGCAGAAAGTTACTCCAAGGTAAAGTGAGATGGAATGGAATGATTTGTGGAGCACTTGAGGAGTGGGCTGTGCTGGGAGAACACCCCGAGCTGCCCTGGGGAGGGTGTGCAGGGCCCAGTGCAGAAGGAATCTGTGTCTCTGCAGCCCAGGGGCACCAGGAGCATGGCTGTATCTGAGTGTGCCATACTGGCCCCTGCTCAGGCTTTAACAAAGCCTGGGTTACAGGTGTGTTCCCCACTGTCAGGGCAGGGACCATGAGCCTAATGAGCAAGGTTAAAACAATTACAGTATTTAAACCCAAGCGTAATTATGGTGGAAGTATTTGTGGGAATGAAGCTTTGTTGAATGCTGATGGTGAATGTGAAGCTGCAGTGCTCTGTCGCTGCTTCGGGCCCTGCAGGGCTCTGAGCTGTCTCAGGGCTGTCCCCAGGCTCCCCTGGAAGCTCTCAGCTGCTCTGTTCCAGGACTCGTGTGTGCGGCAGGCGTTGCGCTGCCGCCGCCAGACGCGGCTCATCACGCTCCAGCTGCACTTCCTGGGCTCAGGGCAGAGCACCAGGATCATCAACCTGGGCAGGCAGGAGCTGCCAGGAGCCATCCTGGCCTTGCCCAGGTTCTACCAGGTGAGCTGGGCTCCCCTTGGGCTCCTCTGTCAGGAACTCCTAATTTGGGCACTGCAGTGCCCGAGTGCTCAGCTCCTTCTCCTTGCCTCAGAGCCTGTGGCTGTTACCCCAACCTTATATCCCGTGTGATGGAGGGACAGGACACAGGGAGTGGCTTCCTGAGGGTGTTGGATGGGATAATGGGAGGGAATTGTTCCTGGGAGGGTGGGCAGGCCCTGGCACAGGTGCCCAGAGCAGCTGTGGCAGCCCCTGGATCCCTGGCAGTGCCCAAGGCCAGGCTGCATGGGGCTTGGGGCAGTCTGGGATGGTGGAAATTGTCCCTCTTTAGGGGCTGAGGAAGGTTGTGCACAGTGCTTTGTTCCCTGTATTTCTCTGCTGTTATTTGTTACCCTGTATTTCCCAGCTGCTCTCAAGAACAGCAGCAAGGGCTGGGCCGAGCAGAAGCTCCCCAGTAGCGAGTTCTCAGCATGGAAGGTTCTGTGCAGTGAGTTCTCAGTGTGGAATGCTCTGTGCCATCCCCCTCCTGTTCCTGCTCTCCCTGCAGGCAGCCATCGTGGCCGAGGCCTACGAGTTCCTGCCAGACTGGGCTGAGGTTCTGTTCCAGCAGGTGATCACCAGGGGGGACTTCGTGTACCTGGAGGAATTTCGGCAGCAGCGGCCACTGCGGCCCGGCCTCTTTGAGGAGGTGGCCAAGAAGTGAGTGAGGCTCTGCAGCTCTACCTGCACAGGGGCCCTGAGAGGGAGGGAAAGGGTTAAACTGTCCAACCTGTTATGGGGGCTTGAGATAGAATTCCAGAATGGCTTGGGTGGGAAGGGACCTTAAAGCCCATCCAATGCCACGGCAGGGACACCTTCCACTGTCCCAGGTGCTTCAAGTCCCAGTGTCCAACCTGGCCTTGGGCATTCCAGGGATCCAGGGGCAGCCACAGCTGCTCTGGGCACCCTGTGCCAGGGCCTGCCCACCCTCCCAGTGAAGGATTTGTTGGTAGGCTTGGTTCCTGGCACAGCATGGGAGTCACTCTGCTCCAGCCTTGTCCTTGAGCTGGACAAGGAGGGAGCTCAGGGCTGGGCAGAGCAAATCCTTAAAATGAATCAGAGCAAATTAACAACCAGGAGATTCAAGTGTAGGTGTTGAGTACGACCTCTTGTTGAAATGTCATTCTAGTAGGCCCAGAGCAAGAGGCTCAGGGGCCTGGGGAGGTTCTGTGTCTCCACTCCCATGTGCAATTGTTGCAGGGTCAAACAGCAGCAGGCCCCTGCTGATGCTGCCCTGAGGAACCTGAAGCGCTTCCTCACCCACTGCGAGGACATCTACACCTACTACAGGCTGGCCTACGACCACAAGTTCTATGACGTGGTGAACTCCCTGCTGAAGGACCCTCAGACTGGCTGCTGCCTCAATGACCTCTTATCCAACTGAATTCCAGCTGAATTCCAGCCTGGAGCACAGGCTGCAGGCTCACTGCTGATTTACACAGATTTTATCAATGGCCTGCTCACAGGGCTCTGCTGCTCCCTAAAAATTACTCCAGAAAACTGAACAAGGTTGTAAGTAGTTAAATGCTGACTGTGTTAACCTAAAATTGTGTTTTGTATAATAAATCTTATTGTTTATAAATTACTTGAGTCACCAGCCAACCCTGACTGGCCCAGGTGGGGGGTGAAGCAGGGATCCAGCAGCCCTTTAAATCAGGGGCACGGGGAGGGAGCAGCCCAGGAATTGTATCCAAAGAGGCTGAAACAGGTGTACAGAATGGCCACGTAAAGGGGGTGGAACGAGCAGAATCACTGCAGGTTTCAGGTACCCAATAGAATAATGTCTTCTTTGAGTCCAGTCTGATTTCTAAAATCTTGTACAGCCTTAAATGCCCATTCCTAATTCTGCTGTCTGGGAGTAAAAGAAATAATCAAGTGCAAATGTATTTTTACAGTTATTAAATGTGAATTCCTTTCCAGGCCCAGGCCATGGGCAGACTCCCAGCACAGCTCAGCTTTGCAGCTCTCCCTCTTCAGGTATTTTTCCTGTCAGGCCCCAAAAAGAACTCTGCTCCAAGGCCAGCCTGGTGAAGTCCTCAATAGTGATTTTTATTAAATTAGTTGCTTTATAAAACATTGCAGATGTTGTAATTGTTAACATAACAATTTGCCCAACTGTAGGAACTGCTGCAGTTTGCTAAGCAAGTTTGGTTTTTAATGAAAGAAAACGGCCGAGTTGTGAGAGACCCACCACAACCCAGGAGAGCCCCAAGGAATTCATGTGGCTTGGTTTTTTCTTTTACACTTAACCCCTTAATTAACTGTTAAAGAACACCCAACCCAGACAGCTGCATTAGTAGAAATTTAAATGACTGGAACTAAATAAACTTCATCCTTGAGACACAAGGGGTTTTGCCTTGCTCTGCCCCAGCAGGTGCTGTTCAGGTGTCAGGCTCTGGAGCAGTGGCTGTCCCAGGGGACAGGCTCCCAGGTGCAGTATTCCACACTGAAGTTAGCAGTTCCCTTCCCAAAATACTGAAATCCTCAAGCTCTAACTCAAGACAAAGCGACTGGAACTCTACGTGCACACCCTGCCCTTGCTGCAAACTGCTCTTGCTCAGCCCTGGCCCTGGAGCAGAAACAGTTAAGGCCATGTCATGGAGCTGTGCTGGTTATAATCCTTCACCTTGTTCCAATTCCTTCCCGATTTAGTGGCTGTTGCTATGAATAGCAGCAGTGCCCATTATCAGAATTTTGGGTTTTTAACTGCAATTTACAGACCTTGTCCGTTCTACCCCCGCCCGGAGCTCCCGCCCGGACCCAGCACCTCCAGCCCCCAGCACACAGATACTGCAATTCTGATTGTAGCATTTGGCAGAATTTAGAGGAAGAAAGGTTGTGCTACATGTTTAAGGGATTATGGGCAACAGAAAGACAACAGAAGGGAGATAAATGTCACATGAAGTCTTCAAAGTCTTGTACGTACTCGCCGTCGTAGCCGCCGTAGTCGGCCAGGTCGTCTTTCATCGTCGCCTTCAGCCCCCCGCCAGGCACAACACCTTTTTTCTTCTTTTTGGCTTTATTCTGTGCCAAGAGGACAAGGGTGGTTATTGCACAGGCCCAGAGCTCTGTCACTGCCCCAGCCAGGCTCAGCCCAGTGGCACTGAGCTGCCACAGCCCCTGCACTGAGCGTGGCCCTGCTGATGCTTTCCATCCCACGATTTCTCTTTTTAGGAAAGCTGTGACAGTGCCAGGTGTCCCCAGCCCCCTGCACCACAGCCCTGCCACCCTTTGCCTTTCATCCTATTTCCCCTGGACTCTCAACAAGTAACTAATAAATGCAGGGGAGCCCCAAGCAGGGGCTGTGATCCCTGAGGAACAGCCCCAGCCTTACCTTCTCTTGTTTTTGTTTTTCACTGCATAATACTGTCAGAGTGTTTGTGATCTTTTTCAAATCATCCACCTCCACTGCATCAGGGGAGAAAAAGAAAAAAAAAAAAGATTCCTTATCAATTTTGTTCTTATAAGGCAGTTAAGTAACATCCACAGTCTCTAAAACTAGAAATAAGCATTAGTGTAACTATGGGCAATTACTTGATTTAAATCAGCAGAACACAGAGTGGGTGGTTCTGGTCCTTACAATCCCAACAAAGATTCCAGCTGGTTCCTTGGAAGCCTGAGCCTTGTAGAAGGTAAAACTTGCAAATAAAGTTACTGAACACAAGGGTTTTATAGAGACATTTGAACAGTAAAATATGGAGACAGTAAAATACAGTAAAATGTATTAAAAGGAGCACTGGATTAACAATAAATTATTCTGTTTATCAATAAGTGGTGCGAGAGGCTGGCAGTGGCTCCTGTTAGGAGCTCTGGAAGCCCTGAGATGGAAGCTGCCAGCTGGGATGATGGATGTAGGCAGCTCCTCCTGGGATCGAGTTACCCCTCCCTGAAGGACAACTGGGTACAGGACAGGGAACCATCCCAGCCACTGCTCCAGCCACCAGGGCACTGGGAATAGGAGTTTAAATTACTTCATCTCTGTATAGTTACATGCTGAATTCCAGAACAGTTAATCTGCAGCTCCAGAATTACATGAACTTGATTTTGTAATAGTTTCCCTCTAAATGAGGTACACAAATTATCTGCCTCAGAAAATTTACTCCTATTATTATTTTAGAAATGGCTTCAAGAAAAACATGCAGGGTTTGGATCACCATAAAAGTTCACACTTTTTAAAGAACTGTCTCAAACCAACGTGCAGAAAGAGTACTCTTGCACGAGGAGAGGATCCTTAGTGGAGTCTGTGGGAATGGAATCAGGTCAGTGCCTCACTTAGTACAAACTAACAGAGCAATCCCCTCTGAGCACTATCACAGCACGTTTTCCACCTCAGCTGCAGCCAGCTCTGGCAGCAGAGCTGGGGCTGTCTGCACTTACAGGAAATGCAGACGTCCCGAAGCAACGCTTCCAAAAACCCGGCGTAATGTAAGGACTTCTCGTACTGTGTGATCTTCTCCTTGAGCAGCTTCCCAAATTCCGTGAAGTCATCTTTTGAAGAGGGGTTCATGGCATCTATTCCACAAGTGCTATTTACACCTGCAGGGACAGGCAGGGCTGTTACACAGAACATGAGCTGTGAGCCCTCAAAGGGGGTCTGGCCCCCACCTCCCCGAGCTCTGCTCCCCCACAGCCAGGGCCCATCCCTGGCCTTACAGGAAAGAAGGGAGTTTGCTGTAAAACTCAGTCATTTCATAGAATCCCTGAATGGTCTGGGTTGGAAGGGTTAAACCCCATCCAGTGCCACTCTGGCAGGGCAGGGACACCTTCCACTAGCCCAGGTTGCTCCAAGTCCATCCAACCTGATCTTGGGCGCTTCCAGGGATCCAGGGGCAGCCACAGCTTCTCTGGGCACCCTGTGCGAGGGCCTATCCCTCCTCACAAGGAACAATTCCTGCCCAATATCCCACCTAACACTGCCCTTTGTCAGTGGAAAGCCATTCCCCCTTGTTCTGTCACTCCATGCCCTTGTCCAAAGCCTCTGTCCAACAATTTTTGAAGCTGAGTCAAACTCAGTAATTTGACCCAGCTATTCCTGTTCTCTGGACAACCTGCACCAGGAAGCCCCTTTTCCCTCACATGAACAATTCCTGCCTCAGCCTCCTGAGTGCAGAACTCAGCTGGTTCTTTGCAGCTGTGCACACCCCCCAAGATCTGTGACAACCTCCCCTGAGCAATGAGCTGAATCACTCACCATAATTAAGGAAACTCTTCCAGTTTGAGGAATGCTGCTGTGCATCAGCATCTTTGCTACTTCTTTGTTCTCAGTGCCACAACTCTGCATGCTGAGAGCCAAACCCTGCTCATGCTTTGCAGGGTCCCAGGGGTTTATTTATTTCCTGCTGCTTTAACTCACCGAAGGTTTCCTTTGCCAGCTCCAGGTCCGACTCCTCTTGTAACTTCTTTAGCCGTAGTTTGTCTGCCAACTGTTCTTCTGGTGTGAGCTCCTTCTGTTCCTCAGGTGCCTCTAACTGCAGGGAGAGCACACAGAGAAGGTGGCACGCTACAGACATGGTGCCTTCTCCAGAGCCACTGCAGCACTCACTGCTGCCTCGACTCGGGGCACATGGAAAACCTGGGACCCGTTCCCTGCAGTCTCCATAAATTGTTCAAAACACCAAACTCCCACTCCTGCCTGTTCCATCACGTGCTGCACACAAAGGAACTGGGATAACACTGATCCAATCATTGGTTAAACTATGCAGGAATTAAAGCTCCCAGCCCCAGAATGGGATCACTTACAAGACCTAAGTTTGGTTTATCAGATGAGTCAAGACCTTTTCAGATCTTGCTCGACCTCTAAAAAACCAAATCAAACCTGCCCTCTGAATTTTATGTGACCCAGAAGAAATCAGGAGTTACCCTTTTTTTAAGCTCCTCTTGCTTTTTCTTTTGTAGCTTTTCTTTTTCTTTGATTTTTTCTGCTATTTTCTTTTTTTCTGAAACTTTCGGTTCTGCAAAGGGTGGAACAACAAACACAGCTCTCAGAAGTCTGATGCATTTTTTTTCCCCTACACAACCACAGAAACACTGGAAGCTCAGTTCCTGGGACTGAGCAGAGAGTTAAAGACATTTCTGTTAAACCCAGCCCCAGCCCCGCTCAGGTTTGATCCTCACACACCCCAGACACATCCAGTGCCTGTTCCCATGCTGATACAGAGCCAGGGGTTATCTTAAAGTCTCACCTTGTTTTACCTCTGTCTCCTTCACCTCCTCCTCTTCCTCCTCATCATCCCAGTTATCCTGCAAAACAGTGAAGATCCTTTTACAGACGCCTGTCACCTCCTCCAGAGCCCACAAACCCACTGATCTGGTATCAGGGTGAGAGAGCCATGGGAGCTGGACCTCAGGGGTTTTTGGAGCTGTCCACACTGATTGGGGCCAGTTCCTACTATGAAAAAGGCAGGTTTTGGTCAAACAACCATCTTGTGCCAGTCATTACAACAGCCAGGTCACAAACACCACTGACACAAACAGGACTTTATTCTCATTTCTGGCATTCTGAGACACTGAACATCCCTGAGGGATGGGGGCCCTGCTGGAAACCCCCAGCCCAGCTGAAACCACGTCAGAGCAGCACAGGCTGTT